GCTAACGAATGCCATTCCATGGGGCCTTTTTAAAATAAGAGTACTAATCCTTTAAAAATGACCTAATCACCTCCTGAAGGCCCTACCTTCTAATATAATTACTTAAAGACTATGATTTCAACATGAACTTTGTGGGGACACAAACATTCAGACCACTGTACTAAGAAACCTTTTTCGACAAACTCCCAGGGATATTAATCATTTTCTGGCTCCTCATTCTTCAGCACTTGAATATAATGTCAACTACACTGACTACATTAAAGCCTTTGACTGTGTGGATCATAACGAACAGTGGAAAATTCTTAGAGAGGTGGGAATACCAGACAACCTTACCTGCTTCCTGAGAAACATATGTGTGGGTCAAGAAGCAACAGTTAGAATCAGGCATGGAACAACGGACTGGCTCAAAATTGGGAAAGGAGTAACACAAGGTTGTATATTTAACTTATTTAAGTTATATAACTTCTATGCAGAGTACATCATACAAAATGGTGGGCTGGAATCAAGATTCAGTTCAGTTCAGTTCAGTCGCTCAGTCGTGTCTGACTCTTTGCGACCCCATGAATAACAGCATGCCAGGCCTCCCTGTCCATCACCAACTCCCAGAGTCCACCCAAACCCATGTCCATTGAGTCAGTGATGCCATCCAGCCATCTCATCCTCTGTCATCCCCTTCTCCTCCTGTCCTCAATCTTTCCCAGCATCAGGGTCTCTTCCAATGAGTCAGCTCTTGGCATCATGTGGCCAAAGTATTGGAGTTTCAGCTTCAGCATCAGTTCTTCCAATGAACACCCAGGACTCATCTCCTTTAGGATGGACTGGTTGGATCTCCTTGCAGTCCAAGGGACTCTCAAGAGTCTTCTCCAACACCACAGTTCAAAAGCATCAATTCTTTGGCGCTCAGCTTTCTTTATAGTCCAACTCTCACATCCATACATGACCACTGGAGAAACCATAGCCTTGATTAGACAGACCTTTGTTGGCAAAGTAATGTCTCTGTTTTTTAATATGCTGTCTAGGTTGGTCATAACTTTCCTTCCAAGGAGTACGTGTCTTTTAATTTCATTGCTGCAATCACCATCTGCAGTGATTCTGGAGCCCAGAAAAATAAAGTCAGCCACTGTTTCCACTGTTTCCCCATGCTGGGAGAAATATCAACAACTTCAGATATGCAAATGATACCACTCTAATGGCAGAAGTGAAGAGGAACTAAAGAGCCTCTTGATAAAGGTGAAAGAGGAGAGTGAAAAAGCTGGTTTAAAACTCAGCATTCAAAAAACTAAGATCCTGGCATTCAGTTCCATCATGGCATGGCAAAAAAGTGGAAACAGTGACAGATTTTATTTTCTTGGGATCCAAAATCACTGCAAAGCTTCCTTGGAGGCTCAGCAGTAAATAATCAGCCTGCTATGCAGGAGATGCAGGAGACACCCATTTGATCCCTGGGTCAGCAAGATCCCCTGGAGGATGGCATGGCAACCAACTTCAGTATTCCTTCCAGGAAAATCCTGGGGACAGATGAGCCTGACAGGCTATGGCCCATGGGGTCACAGAGTCAGACATGACTGAACAACTGAGCACATAAAATCACCACAGATGGTAACTGCAGCCATGAATTTAAAAGACACTCCTTGGAAGGAAAGCTTTGACAAACCTAGACAATATATTAAAAAGCAGAGGCATCTATTGCCTACAAAAGTTCATATAGTCAAAGCTATGGTTTTTCCACTAGTCATGTATGGATGTGACAGTTGGACCATAAATAAGACTGAGTGCTGAAGAACTGATGCTTTCAAATTGGGGTGTTGGAGAAGACTCCTGAGAGTCCCTTGGACTGCAAGAAGAACAAATCAGTCAATCTTAAAGGAAATCAATATTGGTTTCCTTTAAAAAGTAAATTCAAAGTTGAATTGGAATAGTCATTGGAAGAACTGATGCTAAAGCTGAAGCTCCAATATTTTGGCCATCTGACGGGAAGAGCCGACTCATTGGAAAAGACCCTAATGCTGGAAAGATCGAAGGCTAAAGGAGAAGGGGGTGCCAGAGGATGTCATGGTTAGACAGCATTACTGACTGAATGGACAAGTGATATGGATGTGGAAGACAGAGGAGCCTGGCGTGCTACAGTCCGTGGGGTCACAAAGAATCAGACATGACTCAGCAACTGAACAACAAGCTGGCACTTACCAGTTACTTCTACAAAAATTAAATTATGTGCTGCTGCAACTGCTGATTTTCAACACTCCCTGAAAGGAGCTCAGGATAGAGAGCAGAAACAAGGCACTCTGTGTTGGGGGTGGGGAAACTGGCAAAACATATCTTCAGATAGCAAGATATTTTCAGGAGTCAATTTATGAGTGCAATTCTTGTATCACTTCATACCTAGAAAAACACCAAAATCCTTCATGATAGTGATTCTCTTTCATGCATAGCAGAAGCTTCTGAAAAAATATGTGCTTGACTGCATGTACTCTCCCTTCACCAAAATCACATATATACTGTTCTTCCCCCTCTACCTCTTCAGAGCAGTTTCTCAGAGCTATCCGAGGCTCTGTCTCCTGGGCTGCAGTCTTCATTTTGCCCCAAATAAAGCTTAACTTGCAACTCTCACGTTGTGCATTTTTAAAAAGTTGACAGCAGTTCAAAGCGCTTCTATATATATGAAAATATCGTATTTGCTCTTATTTTTACATCTGCATAGCACCCACTATAGGGACTCAATTCAGTAAGAAATCTAATAAAGGCAGATGATAAGTGAATGCTCTGTGTTTTCCAAGAAACGAGCTGCCCCATTGTTCATTCGGGGCTTCCTAGGTGGCACAGTGGTATAGAATCCATCTGCCAATGCAGGAGAAGTGGGTGCGGTTCCTGGGTCGGGAAGATTTCCTGGAGTAGGAAACGGCAATTCACTCCAGTATTTTGCCTGGAAAATTCCACGGACAGAGGAGGTTGGAGGGCTACAGTCCATAGGGTCGTACGACTGAGCACAAGCACACACAGTTCATTTACTGCTGGAGAGACTCTGGGAATTCTCCTTCTCTTTAGTTCAGATCAATCTGTGCCTTCTAAAGGCTAACTCCATCCACAAAGTACTCAGAAATGAGCCACATGATCCTCCCATGGGGTGGCAGTTTACCATAAACGAAGTGAATTTGCAGTTAATGTATTGTTTAATCCAACTGTCGTTTTTCCTCCAAGTCTTTCAAATGTGATACAAACTTTATAACACATATTTCTGCCTTGCAACTTGATGCAAGCGTAAGTTTTCATCAATTTTAAAGACAGATACCTTATAGAAGTGTTTGTAATGAATTGTGTCATGTTATTTGTGTTGTGTTAGCCAACCTAGTTTAAACTTTGTTCTTTGACTAGGGGGTATTGGTTACTATTTTGAGGATCTTATGAAGGCAGAACATGGGAAAAAGACAAACTCTCAAAAACTGGAAAAAAATGATAAAGCTATCCTGGAGATGTTTTATCCAGTTACTCACCTAATATAAAATTCTCCATCCCTAGAGCAAAGGAAGAGACTATCTTAATACCCAAAGTTAAGTTAGTAAAACACAAACCCAATAGGATAAACCTGTCCAGCTCTGCTAGTAAATGAAAAGGTTATTTGAACACTGTAAACATCAATGATAGTGATTTGGGTGTAACCTCAGGCAAGCACTACCTGTGACTGATTAAACTGAAATCTAATTAAATGTATTAGATCCTGTCTGAAGAAAGACAACTTGAATAGAAGAGCAATGATCAGCACTAAGTATAGCAAAAACAAACAAGCGAACAACAAATCAAGGAACCAGAAGCTATTTGTTTTGCACTATTCACATGAGTTAAACACATTAATTCTGCTAGTCAGGGTGGGTAGGTTGATTCACTAGGCCTTGCTGTAATTCAACTTGTTGAGATTTAATCAATGCTCTTTTCAAGGATAGTATTCCAAATGAAAATGAAACTGAATCACAATCACAGGAAATACTTGTTTTTCCAGCATTCCAGAAAGTTTTAAAGTGATCCCATCTACTTACTCTTATCATCCATTTTATACACAATAGCTCTAGGATAACATGCTCAGTCCCACTTCTTGTCCATTTAAACCCTGTCAGGCACTCCTATTTACAACAAAAATATACCTCATAATCTCCAAACTAAAAAATCTACTGTTGCCTGTCCAAGATCAAAGCCCCCATATTGGGCTAATCAGAGAATATCTTAACACTGGATGTACATTTCTGAAAATTCAAAATTCCTAGAAAGGGCCTAGTTGTTTAACATATCCAAGTCACTTCATTTCTTTGAGCTTCTGTAAAGCAAAAGGGTTTATCTAGCACTGACCTATTAACAAATTCTATTACTGCTTGATTTTATAATATGCAATTGTTTAGCCACATTCCCCAGCTTAAGCTTTTTCCTGAAAAAATAAGTCAATGGAATCGGAATAGTGTTTTTCTAGCTGCAGGCTGCAAGCCATTAAATAAATCACAAAATCAGTTTAGTAGATGCACTCCCTGTCAGCATAAAACAAAACAAGCTTAAACAGAATAAAAGAGAACAGGAAATCTCAGGTTGCATCTTAGCAGTCAGTACTGTTTTGTGATTATTTGTTTCAATTTTATACAAAAGTGTGTAGCGGGTTAGGATGGCACATTTTTGATGTCTGACACACACTACTCTAAAGTTGGGTCAGACTGGTCCGAAGATGACCCTTTTAGGGGTATGAGAGGTCCTTCCTCTTCCAATCACACACATATGTGTGTGTGAGGACAGATTTTCTTCACAAGCTTCAACCAAAACCTTTCTCAAGATTGAATGCAGAAGCAAGTATGAGAATTCAGCTGTTTTCATTTGAGGCAGATACCAAAGACGCTTTCAAAACTGTAAATAATTCCGCTCTTCAATTTTCAGAAAATAAGTCACTTAAAATCTTAAAATGCTATTTTATGTTAACTCGTTTATTATTGTAGAACGGATTTTTTAAATTTCTGCCTTAATTACTACTACACTAAATATCAATAGATACAATCCACATAACAAAAGCATTTTTGAGTCGGCAACAATTTGAGAACAGCTGATCCGCATAAAACAAAGGACTGCAGGCCTGACTCCAGGCAGGTTTAACACGGTCACAGGCCCTTCCTGGGACCTCCCAAATACCACCCGCTCCACTGACACTGAGACCTGAAGTACCCAGCTGAGAATCCTCGCGAGTAAGAACAGATATTGACGAAGGGCGGGGTTCCTGGACGTAAGAGCGTGGGCAAGTGCGGGTTCAAAGTGCAAGCGAAAACAACCTTCCAGTAGAAAAGGAGACATTGAGCCAATCTTTGCGACACTGTCGCGTTTCGTTGGTTCCGTGCCGTAAACGCAGTCGGGGAGCCGCTCCCGGTCTAGACTGCGACGGATGCGCGCTGCCATGGCGGATATGGAAGACCTATTCGGGAGCGACGCCGACAGCGATCCTGAGCGTAAAGGTGGGATCCGCAGGGCTTCGGTGGAGACGGGCGTGGTGGGCCTTCTCCGGCGGGAGCCCGACAGCGACCCGATTCCGGGTCTGCGAACGCTCTGGCGCCGCTGGCGGATGGCGCTTCCTCTCCGCCTGCTTCAGCGCCCCCTGCTCCCCTGGCGGTGCCAGCCTTTTCCCGAGGGAGGGGACGAAGGGACAGATGCAGAGTGTGTGCCTCGAGGGTCTTGGTGTCCTTCTAGCAAGCCGAGCCTAGGAGCATGGGGAGCGAAGGGGGCGCGGGGCAGGAATGGAGGCCGGTGAGCCGGCGCAGCGAGAGGAGAAACCTTAGAGTCCTGCTCTGTCCTGCCTTGCACATGGACTATTGTGAATGAATGGAAATTACGTGTTCAGGAACATGGGTATGGACTGGACGAATTTGCAGAGGGGCTCTGATTGTCCTTTTGAATGAAACCAGAACGTGGCGTGATGGGAAGTTTAAAACGTCTGGGTGAGAAGACTGGGAAGGTTACTGGGGTAGGGCTGCATACAGGTGTTAGGCGCTGGAGATAATGTGTCTTCCGAGAACCTGTGCGAAAACGCTAGAATTTCTTGAGTCGGTGGTATTAGATTGGGGAGCATATGAAGTCTGTGTTTGGAGAGAAGGGATGAAGGATTTGGTGATGAAATGGATTAGTAAATGTATGTTCATGATGCAGGGGAGCACCATGTGGATTCTAGTGTGAGGGCTGTACCAGGATGGATGTCCTGAAGGTTCTGGTCAGGATAGGTCTGGAAGTATAGAGCCCTTACACTAACTCTTGTTCCACTTTGTTTGCTAATGTTTTCATTACCCTGTCATTTGTATGTGTCCTTATCCCATTCACCCTTCAGGGCATTGGAGCCTTGTGAACCCTCGCATCATTCACTTCCATGAAGTTCATTCATTCATCATTTATAGATCCCCTATCATGTTATGGCTACTTTGCTAAGTGTAGGGGTTACAATGATGCAAAGATATCACCCTCCCTCAGTTAACTTCATTGCTTAATACATAAATAATTGATAGGTAGAAGCAATAGCGAGTGTTTGAAGGTCTCCTGCAGAGGTGAGGGTCGGAAATGGCCAGCTGTAGGGACAGGGGCACTGGCAGCTGCAGCCCTGGGAGGTGTGTGTTGACCTGAGTCCTATTGGGAGGTCTCCAGTAGCCCTAACATAGAACCTGTAGACTCCAAGACTGCGTTGCCTCAGTTGTTAGTGTTAGTCGCTCAGTCGTATCCAGCTGTTTGTGACTCCATGAACTATCAGGCTCCTCTGTGGAATTCTCCAGGCAAGAATACTGGAGTGGGTTGCCATTCCCTTCTCCAGGGGATCCTTCTGACCCAGGGATTGAACCCACATCACTTGCTTTGCTACATTCTTAACCATCTGAGATGTTAGGCCAAACAACTAAAAGGGAGGGAGCACAGCCCAACCCATCAGCAGACAATTGGATTAAAGATTTACTGAGCAAAGCCCTGCACCAGAGAGCAAGACCCTATTTTCCCCATATCCAGTCCCTCCCATCAGGAAACTTACACAGTCCTCTTATCCTCATCCATCAGAGGGCAGACCGAAGCAAGAATTTAATAATCCCACAGCTTTCAGAAAGAAAACCAGGATCACAGAAATCTAACCAAAATGATCACATATGAAGCTATGAGCCATGCTGTGCATGGCCACTCAGGATGGTCAGGTCATGGTGGAGAGATTTGACAAAACGTGTGTGGCCTGTGGCATCTTAATTCCCCAACCAGGGATTGAACCTGGGCCATGGCGGTGAAAGCTCTGAGCCCTAACTACTAGACCGCCAAGGAGTTCCCAAGATTGCCTTCTTTTTTTATGGTTGAATAATATTCCATTGTATATATGCCATATTTTTAGTGGCATGGATAATATTTTGTTGTTTATATGCACCACATTTTGTTTGTCCATAGATGGACATATAGGTTGTTTCTGTATCTTGATAATGCTGCAGTGAACATAGGTGGGCATATATTTTTTCAAATTAATGTTTTTGTGTCTTTTGGATAAATACCCAGAATTGGTCTAGCTGGATCATATAGTAGTTCTGTTCTTTTTCTGAGACATTTCCATACTGTTTTCCAGAGTGACTGTATCTCTTTACAATCCAACCATTAGTGTACTAATGTTTCCTTTTCTCCATGTTCTCTCCAACACTTGTTATTTTTTACCTTTTTGATAATAGTCATTCTGACTGTGGTTTTGATTTTCATTTCTCTTTCGATTAGTGATGTTGAGCATCTTTTCATGTACCTATTGGTATGTCTTTTTTTGAAAAATGTCTATTCAGGCCTTCTGTCCATTTATATATATATAATATGAGCTCTTTATATGTTTTTGGTATTAATCCTTTATCAGCTATATGATTTGTGAATATTTTATCCTATTCAATAGATTGCCTTTTCATTTTGTTGATGGTTTCCTTTGCTGTGTAGAAGTGTGTTAGCTTGATATGTCACATTTGTTTATTTTTGCTTTAGTTGTCATTGCTTTTGGTGTCAAATCCAAAAAATGATAACCAAGGCCAATGTCAAGGAGCTAAGGAGCTTACTGCCTATGTTTTCTTCTAGGAATTTTATGGTTTCAAGTCTGAAATTTAAGTCTAACCCATTTAGAGTTAAATTTTGTGTATGGTGTAATAAGATAGTGGCCCAGTTTCATTCTTTTACATATTGCTATCCAACTTTCTCACCATTTATTGTTCTTTCCTCATTGTGTATTCTTGGCATGCTCCTTTGTTGTAAATTAATTGACCATATATGTGTGGCTTTATTTCTGAGTTTTTTATTCTGTTGCATTGATTTATGTGTCTGTAATACAGTTTGAAATCAAGGGCATGATGCCTCCAGCTTTATTCTTTTTATTCTCAAGATTGCTTTGGCTGTATGGGTTTGTGTGTATGTGTGGTTTCACACAAAGTTTAGAGTTCTTTGTTCTATTTCTGTAAAAAATGCCATTAGAATTTTGATAGGAATTGTGTTCAAAATGTAGATTACTTTGGTTAGTGTGGATATTTTAACACTATGGGTTCTTCCAATCCATGAGCGATCTTTCCATTTATTTGTGTCTTCAGTTTCTTTCATCAGTGTATTACAGTTTTCACTTTACAGGTCTTTCACCTTTTTTGGTTAAATTTATTCCTAAGTATTTTATTCTTTTTGTTGCAGTTATAAGTGGGATTATTTTCTTAGTTTCTCTGTTAGCTTATTATTTATGTATAGAAACACAACTATATATTGATTTTATATTCTGCAACTTTAATAAATTCATTTATTAGTCCTAACAGTTTTCTGGTGGAGTCTGTAGGATTTTCTATATATAATATGTCATCTGCAAATAGTGACAGTTTTAGTTCTTTTCAGTTTGGTTGCTGAATATGCCATTTTTATGTGAACAATTCAGTGGTATTTAGTACATTTAAAATGTCCTGCAGCCACCACCTCTGTCTAGTTCTAAAACATTTTCATCACCTCAAAATAAAACACCACACCCATTGAGCAGTTACTTACCATTTGCTCCTTTCACTAGCCCCCACCACCCACCAATCTGCTTTTTACATCTATGGATTTTCTATGTTCTGGACATTTCATATAAATGGAATCATACAACATGTGGCTTTTTGTGTCTGATTTCTATCTCTTACCATCGTGTTTTGGAAATTCATCCATATTGTATGTATCAATACTTCATTTCTTTTTAATGATTGAATAGTATTCACTCTATGTATATATCCCAGTTTGTTTATCTATTTAACCACTGGTGAACATTGAGTTGTTTCCATCTTTGGCTATTTAAATAGTGATGCTGTGAACATTTGTTTACAAATATTTGTATAAGTGCCTGTTTTCAGTTCTCTTGGTGTGGAATTGTATATATATATGTGTTGGGGTGGAACTGCCGAGTCATATGATTCTTTGTTTTACTTTTTGACGAGCAACCAAACCATTTTTGGACCAGCAAACCATTTTTGTAACCATTTTACATTAGCACCAGCAATGTTTGAGGGTTCTATTTCTTCACATTTTTGCCAATACCTATTTTACCTTTTTTCTTTTTTTACCCCCTTTTAAAATATAGCCATCACTGTTGGTGTCAAGTGATATTTCATTATGGTTTCGATTTGCATTTCCTAATGGCCAGTGATGTTGAGCATCTTTTCATGTACTTGTTTCATGTTTGTGTAACTGTGGAGAAATGTATAATTCAAGTCCAGTGTCCATTTTTAAAATGGGTTGTTTTGTTGTTGTTGTAAACATTCTTTATATATTCCAGATTGTCCTTGTTCAGTCTCTCAGTCATATCTGACTCTTTGTGACCCCATGGACTGCAGCATGCCAGGCTTCCCTGTCCTTCACCATCTCCCGGAGCTTGCTCAAACTCATGTCCATTGAGTCAGTGATACCATCCAACCATTTCATTCTCTGTCGTCCCCTTCTGTCTTCAATCTTTCCCAGCCTTAGGGTCTCTTCTAATGATTCGGCTCTGCTTATCAGGTGGCCAAAGTATTGTAGCTTCAGCTTCAGCATCAGTCCTTCCGATGAACATTCAGGGTTGATCTCCTTTAGGATTGACAGGTTTGATCTTGCAGTCCGAGGGACTCTCGAGGCTTTTCCAACACCACAGTTCAAAAGCATCAGTTCTTCAGTGCTCAGCTCTCTTAATGGTTCAGCTTTCACATCCATACATGACTACTGGAAAAATCATAGCTTTGACTAGACGGACCTTTGTCAGCAAAGTATTGTCTCTGCTTTTTAATAAGTTGTCTAGATTTGTCATAGCTTTTCTTCTAAGGAGCAAGTGTCTTTTTCATTCCATGGCTGCAGTCACCATCTGTAGTGATTCTGGAGCCCAAGAAAATAAAGTCTGTCACTTTTTCCATTACATATGTGTCAGATATATGGTTTGCAGATATTTTCTCCCATTCTGTAGGTTTTTTCACTTTCTTGATAATATTCTTTCTTGCACAAAAGCTTTTCATTTTGAGGAAGTCCAGTTTATCTTTTGTTCTTGTTTATAATTCCTTCATTTTTGAAGAATAGTTTGGCTGAATATAGAGTTCTTGATTGACTGTTTCAGCACTTTGAATATTGCATCCCATTGCCTCCTGGTTTTTATGGTTTCTGATGAGAAATCATCTGTTATCCTTATCAATGATCTCTTTGTATGGGATGAGTTGTTTCTTTTTTGCTGCTTTTAGGATTTTTCTTTGTCTTAGGCAGTTTGATAATGATGTGCTTGGGTGCTGTCTCTTTAACTTTATCCTTCTTGGTATTTGTTAAACAGCTTTGATGTGTATGCTCATGTCTTTCATCAGATTTGGAAAGTTTTTGGCTGTTATGTCTTCAAACGTATTTTCTGTCCCTTTCTCTTTTTTCTCTTCTTCTGGAACCCACATTATGCATAGACTGGTATACTTGCTGTTTTCTTACAAGTATTTTAGACTCTTCATTTTCTTCATTCTTTTCTCTTTTTGTTCACCAGACTGGATAATCTCAATTATGTATCTTAAAAGTTTCTTGATTCTTTCTTCTTCTCACTCACATCTGCTGTTTATCTCTTTAATGAATTTTTCATTTCAGTTATTATACTTTTCAACTCCAGATTTTCTGTTCAGTTTTTTGAAAAATAATATCTGTCTTTTTATTGATATTCTGTATTTGATATCATTTTCATTGTCTGGGCTTCTTTAGGGACAAATTGTAACCTTTCTTTCACATATATGGGCCATACTTCATTGTTTCTTTGCAGGCATTATAAGTTTTTGTTGATAATTGGGCATTTTGAAATTATACTGCAGTAACTCAGGACAGCACACTCCCTTCCCCACCCCCACCCCCAGCATTTATTGTTGCTATTTGTTATTGTAATTATTGTTGACTCTTTTGAAATAATTTTGTAAAGTCTGCAATTTTTGTTGTATGTGACCACTAAAGTTTCTGCTCCGTTAGTTTAGTGGTCAGCTAGTGATTGGACAGAGGTTTCCTTATATGCAGAAAGAGAAACAACAGCAATCACAGGAAAACTTCCAGACTTCACAGGTTGTCTCTCTCTGTGTGTTAGGGCTTGCTTTCAACACTCCACCAAGTAGTTTTCATCCTGTCTTTGCTTTCATTTCTTGCTTTCATGGAGCCTGAAGGTCAACCAGAAGTGAGGTCTTAGGGCCCTCTTGGTTCTTTCTTGAGCATGTGCACAGCCCTGGGGAAGTGCATGGCTTTTCAGATTGCTAAGAATATATGTGAGGGTTTTGTTTGTTTGGTTGGTTCATTTATTGTGGGAGGTTTTTTTTTCTCTACAACAAACATTTGATTTTGTATTAGGATATAGCCCATTAACAATGTTGTGTTTGTTTCAGGAGAACAGTGAAGGGACTCAGCCATACATATACATGTATCCATTCTCCCCCAAACCCCTTTCTCATCCAGGCTGCCAAATAAAGTTGAGCAGAGTTCCATGTGCTATACAATAGGTCTTTGTTGGTTACCCATTTTGAATATTGCAGCGTGTACATGATCTTCCCAAAGTCCCCAACTATCCCTTCCCCCCAGCAGCTATAAGTTTGTTTTCTAAGTCTATGAGTCTCTTGCTGTTTTGTAAGCAAGCTCATTTGTATCATTCCTTTTTAGATTCTACACATAAGGGATGTTATACCATGTTCTCTGTCTGACTGGTTTCACTCAGTATGACACTCTCTAGGTCCATCCATATTGCTGCAAATGGCCTTATTTCATTATTTTTTAATAGCCGAGTAATATTCCGTTGTATATATGTACCACGTCTAAATCCATTCCTCTGTTGGTGGACATTTAGGTTGCTTCCTTGTCTTGACTATTGTAAACAGTGCTGCAATGAGCATTGGGGTGCATGTATCCTTTCAGATCATGTCTTTCTCTGGATATATGCCCAGGAGTGGGATTGCAGGGTCATATGGTAGCTTTATTTTTAGTTTTATAAGGAACCTCCATACTGTTCTCCATAGCGGCTGTACCAATTTACATTCCCACCAACAGTGTTAGGGGCTTCCCTTCTCTCCACACCCTCTCCAGCATTTGTTGTTTGCGGATTTTTTGATGATAACCATTCTGACCTGTGTGAGGTGATATCTTCATTGTAGTTTTGATTTGCATTTCTCTAATAATTAGCGATGTTGCACATCTTTTCATGTGCTTGCTGGCCATCTGTATGTCCTCTTTGGAGAAACATCTGTTTGGGTCTTCTGTCCATTTTTCGAGTGGGTTATTTGTTTTGATGCTGTTAAGTGTCATAAGCTGTTTGTAAATTTTGGAGACTAATCCCTTATTGGTCATATCATTTGTAAATGTTTTCTCCCAATCTATGGGTTGTCTTTTCATTTTGCTTATTGTTTCCTTTGCTGTACAAAAGCTTTTGAGTTTAAATAGGTCCCATTGTTTATTTTTGTTTTTATTTCCATTATTCTGGGAGATAGATTGAAAGCAATCTTGCTGTGATTTATGTGAGAGAGTGTGCTGCGTAAGTTTTCCTCTAGAAGTTTTATCATTCTTTTAAAATCCTTACTCCCCATATTATGTCATTCCTCAGCCTTTTCAACCAAACTTTTTAGTTAGTCTGTTGTTTGCCCTGTTATTCATTGTCTAAAGCAGACACAACTAATACATCTACCTGTAAATGTTTTGAGTAGTTCCAACTTAGGTGAGATAAAGTCAAGTCCTTTGAGCCAGTCCCTTCAGTGATCCACCAGACAGATCAGAACTAACAGTCATGATTCTTTGCGAATGAGGTGCCGTCTGCTCCCTCCATTAGTGGCACATGTGCCAGAAATTCAGGGTATTATCTTCAAGGCACTGTTGACCAAGGGGTGGGTTGGGAGCAGTGGATGGTGGGGGTAGGGACCAGAGTATGTTAGAAGTTCCCGAAATTCTGTTTTTTTTACTGAGATTCAGCTTTTTTTTTTGGTCTCATTAAACATTCCCCTAGTTGTTGCAACTTTTAGTTTCCAGAGTCTGAGAAGATAGATTCTAACAGCTTTTAAGAAGTTTTTTCCTTGCTTTTATGTTGGGATGGACTTTTAGTGTTCCTTATTCTGCTTTTTTTTTTGCTTACCTCACCCTGTGTTTATATGACCCCATAGATTCTGACTCTGGATCGGGCTCGGATTCTGATCAAGAGAATGTTGCTTCTGGCAGTAATGCCTCTGGAAGTGAAAGTGATCAAGATGAAAGAGATGACACAGGAAAACCAAGTAATAAGGAACTGTTTGGAGATGACAGTGAGGATGAGGGAGCCTCTCATCATAGTGGGAGTGATAATCACTCTGAAGGATCAGACAATAGATCAGAAGCTTCTGAGCATTCTGACCATGAAGACAACGATCCCTCAGATGTAGATCAACACAGTGGATCAGAAACCCGAAATGACAATGATGATGAGGATGAGGGTCATAGATCAGATGGAGGGAGTCATCACTCGGAAGCAGAAGGTTCTGAAAAAGCACCCTCAGATGATGAAAAATGGGGCAGGGAAGATAAAAGCGATCAGTCAGATGATGAAAAGATACAAAATTCTGATGATGAGGAGAGGGCACAAGGGTCTGATGAAGATAAACTGCAGAATTCTGATGATGATGAAAAAATGCAGAACACAGATGATGAGGAGAGGCCCCAGCTTTCAGAGGATGAGCGACAACAGCTGTCTGAGGAGGAGAAGGCTAATTCTGATGATGAACGGCCAGCAGCTTCTGATAATGATGATGAGAAACAGAACTCGGATGATGAAGAGCGGCCACAGATATCTGATGAAGAGAAAATGCAAAATTCTGATGATGAAAGGCCACAGCCCTCGGATGAAGAACACAGGCATTCAGATGATGAAGAGGAGCAGGACCATAAATCAGGTAATACACTTATGAGAACCAAAGTGGTTTAGTAGAAGCATTGAGGTACAGTGATGGCTCACTGATTCTTTTTACAGTCCCATTACTTCAGTACTCTGGTTTTCCTCTTCTGTTCCTCTATTTCAACCTTTTCTAACTCTATATATTTTACTTGTAAACATTTTCCTAATTCGTGTCTTATTTCTGTCTTTCTCCCTTCCATTTTATTGATGATAGATCAGGAAGAAAAAAATTTAAAGAGGGAAGTCTTAGAGCAAAGTGTATAGTGCTATAGTAGCTAGATACCGAACAGTCAGTTCCGTTTCTGTGGGTAACAGAAGAGCATGCCTGAGATGAGAATAGATGTGCCTGGGGGGAAAACCCCCTTGCCATTGAAATGCCCAGTTTCCAGTTTAGTTTATCAGAGGTCCAAAATTTCATCCTCCAGAGGTAATCAGGCTCCAAGGAGTTTATTCAGACTAACCACAGGAAGTTATAAAAATTGAATTACAAAATTGTTTCAAGAGCATCAGTTATTTTTCTATCATTGTATCCTTTGAGGGGAAATCTGCATTGGATACCAAATTGTAACAGTCAGGAGGTTGCCTGAGGAGCATAATATCCAGAAAATGACAACACAGGCTGGATGATCTCAGTGACTTATGATAGCCTGACACATGCATCCTCATCCTGGGGAGATGTGCTTGGATCAGAACATTTATTTCCTGAAGACAGCAGGAAAACATAGGGCAGAACTTTGGCTTATGGATCCCTTTTCATAATAACCACTTACACTGTTTTCTTGAAGTTAGCATGTTCTTCATATAGGATATTAAAACAGTTAACCATCTGATTTCTTTGTGTTATATAAAAGTCACTTTGATTAAGTTGGAAGTCTTCCTGTAGTAATATCTGGGTTGCTTCATTTTTATAAGTAATTGATTATAATTATATATTGATTCTGTCTTCTTGGAGAGCTGCAGTATGGGGAGTGGGAAGTCTTTTCCCCTGGAATACATATCTCAGGATAGCTTTCAAGACTGCATTTTAACATTATTAAGGAGAGGAGGTCAAAAAGTTTCCAGAGATGGATATAGGTCTATATAGACTATAGGACTGTGGTAATTATTCAGTAACTAATTCTGGGTAGAGTTATTTGTACTGGAAATACCCAGAATCATTAAGGCTTATGCACTACTTCCCAAATACTAGCAGACTAACATAAAACTAAGAGTAGGAATCTTGTTACTGGTCATCCTGCTTAACTAGTTCTACAGTGGTTGGGTTTTGAAGTTTAAAATTACGTGAACAGTTTACCATCCAGAAATAATATATTTGTGTCTTCCATTACAGTATATTTACTTCTCTTTTGTCTTCTGTATTGAATGATATATAAATTTAAAGTTTCAGAACTGCTTTTCTCATTCTCCCAAGTTTTTTACTTATAAAAACCAATGTTCCTTTTTTTAATCTTATTTCAAAATTAACCATAGTAAGTTGATTTTTGTGTGTGTATGTGGAGTTCTCTTAACATTAATGCATTTTGTAACCATCACCACAGTCATGATACAGAATGGTTCTGTCAGCCCTGAGAAACTCCCTCACACTGTCCCTTTTGTAGTCATACACCGCCCCACCTGGGACCCCTAACAGCTCCTGCTCTCTGTCACTCTAGTTTTGTCTTTTTGAGAATGTCGTCTTATAAAGGAAATCACACAGTAGTGGCGCCTTTTTGCTTTCACTTATTGTAATGCATTTGAGAGTCATCCAAATTATTACTTGTATCAGTAGTTCATTCTTAGTTATTACTGAGTAGTTTTCCATTGTGTGGGTGGTCCATAGTTTGTTTATCTCCAGTGTTGCTTTTCAAACACACAAAATCAAAGTGATGGGATGACTGCGATTATGCGGAACTTCTGATTCCACTTTTACAGAATCTGCAAGAGGCAGTGATAGTGAGGACGAAGTTTTACGAATGAAACGCAAGAACGCAATTGCATCTGATTCAGAAGCGGAGAGTGACACTGAGGTACCAAAAGGTATTCTACTTACTTCTTTTATATATCTTTATTTCCATTCCTCTCTCTGCGTTTAACTATAGTACATTCCCAACCCTGGGCATTTAGCCCAGACTGCAGGACTCAACAGAAAAAAGTGTAGATACATTTAGTGTATCCAGGGAAGTTGTACAGATATGAGAAACTGCTCACAGTTAAGGAGTTGAAGAACCTGCTTCATTTGTGGTCTGAGTGAGTCTGCTGTTAGGGGCCCAAGGCTTTGTTGAGGAGGAAGTGGCATTGCCTGTTCTTCGGGTTGAATAGTGACAGTTCTAGGACAGCTTGTTAGCTTGTTCTTAGGTTCTTAATAGGTTAATATTAGATGAAGAAGCTGATTCTTCAAGCTATTTTAGGTGAAGAGTTCATAAAAACCCAGTGTTAGGTACGGTAGGTTTTTTGTAAGGATACAAGATCTACCTGGACTTCCCTGGTAGCTCAGCTGGTAAAGAATCTGCCTGCAATGCGGGAGACCTGGGTTTGATCCCTGAGTTGGGAAGATCCCTTGGAGAAGGGAATGGCTACCCACTCCAGTAAAATAGCCTGGAGAATTCCATGGACAGAAGAGCCTGGTGGCTGCAGTCCATGGCGTTGCAAAGAGTCAGACGTGACTGAGTGACTTTGAGGGGGTTCCCTGAAGCTCAAATGGTAAAGAATCTGCCTGTGATGCAGGAGACCAGGGTTTGATCCCTGGATTGGGAAGTTCCTCTGGAGAACGGAATGGCAATCCACTCCAGTACTCTTGCCTGGAGAATTCCATGGACAGAGAAGCCTGGAGGGCTACAGTCCATGGGGTCACAAAGAGTGAGACACGACTGAGTGACTAAGACACACACACACAAGATCTACCTGTTTATATCTATGTATGACTGCATTTCAAATGGCAAATTACTATACAATAAAGATGTTAGTATAAAAGTTACAGTAAACATAATTTGGATAATTTGCACAGCCATTATTGTGCTATATGGTAATTAGGCATTAATGTTAAATAGCTTATATAAATTATCACAAATAACAGTATAACTAAAGCAGACATTTAGCAGGTCAGCTAGAGAGAAAAGGAGACAGCTGGACAGAACAAGCTCTGGGATTTACTTAAAGATCTTTGGGTCTATAACTCCTAGTTATGTACATGGACTTTGGAATCAGATAACCCAAGTTAGAATCTTAGTGGTTCTACTTTCCAACTGTATGATTTTGGTCAAATTAATTACTTAACTAAATTTCAGTTTCTGATCTATAAGAGTGAGATGGTGCTAATCCCCTTATAGTGTTGTTGTGAGAATGAGATATATTAATTACTTTGTTCACATTTATTGAGAATCTGCTTTCTACTAGTACTATTTTGTGCACTTGGAATGTAGCAGTAATCAAAGACATCTCCCTGTAGAACCCGCATTCTATAGGGGTCAGGGTAGGGTAGAGAGACCAATGATAACACAGTAAGTAAATGAAACATATAGCATGTTAGATGGTGATAAAACCTAAGAAGAAAATAATCAGGTGAGCACATGAGCATAGTCTGGAACCAAATCTGAGTTATCTCCAAGGTATTCCTGTATTCCATGGTCTGGATGTATCAGTTTATCCATTTATGAACTGAAAGACATCTTGGTTGCTTCTAAATTTCTAAATTATGAGTAAAGCTGCTGTAGACATTTGTGTGCAAGTTTTTGTGTGGATATAAGTGTGTAGATCCTTTGGGTAAATACCAAGGAGCAGCAATTTCTGGGGCATCTGGTAAGAATATGTTTAGTTTGGTAAGAAACTGCCAGACTGTCTTCCAAAGTGGGTGTGCCATTTTGCATTCCTACCTGAATCAGTGAATGAGAGTTCCTGTTACTGCACATTTTTGCCAGCATTTGATGTTGTCAGGGTCCTGAATTTTGGCCATTTTAATAGGTTTCCTTCTCTTTTTCAATGATCTGTCCTTTACCTCGTCTTAGTGACTCACTCTTATGATTTTACCCTAGACCATGTCATTACCAAAATTGTAACTCTTCTATAATTTCACTTTCAAGCAGTCTACCTTTTGACCACCCTCCTATCTTCCTGTCATCTCCTTTACTACCCCACTTTGGTTTATTACAGATTATTGTTGATGATGATGTTTTGCCTGTACCTGGGTGAAGTTCTTCCTGAGAGGAGGGGAGCCTGGGTAGACATGACCTGTGATTTTAAAATTTGGAAGGATGACGTGGAGAATAGGCCTGTGTGGTGTGCTTAAGCCCCAAATTTGAGTATCTGGACTGTGGGAGGATATTTGGGCTCCTGAGGAATAAAGGAAAGTGGAAAAACAAGGATGCAGTAAGTAAAGGAGGAGAGGAGTGCCACCTGGTGCACTTTGCCCTTCACTGGATTTGCCTTCTTCCCTTTGCACAGACACTCTAGTTAGATCTGTGAGTGCGAGGCTCAGAGTTGTGTTTGGGTAGTTTCCAGGTGCTGGGTCTAGAAACTTTAGGAATATGTTGAAGTGAGAGCTTTGAAGAACCATTGTTACAGGTATTAAATACTGTGCCTTTTTCCTCTTGCATTGAAGATAATAGTGGAACCATGGATCTCTTTGGAGGTGCAGATGATATATCTTCAGGGAGTGATGGGGAAGATAAACCACCCACTCCAGGACAGCCTGTTGTAAGTAAAATTACCAATGAGAACTGGAAGAGAGAACTAAGTGTCTCTTTTATGCCAGGAAGAGGGAGTCAGTAACTGAATTGCAGTATGGAAATACAGTGAATGTGTGACTTCCTCATTTATGTAGAGAACTTCTGCTTATAAGAGGATTAGAAAAAACTGTCTTGAAACGTCATTCCGTGGAATACTACTCAGCAATAAAAAGGATTTATATATGCAGCAACTTGGATGAAGTTTACTGATACATGAAATTTACTGATATATGCAGCAACTTGGATGAAGTTTACTGATACATGAAATTTACTGATATATGCAGCAACTTGGATGAAGTTCCAGGGAATTATGCTGAGTGAGAAACAGCCAGTCCCAAAAGGTTAAGACTGTATAAATCCACTCCTCTAACCATCTTGAAATGACAGAATTATAGAAATGGAGACAAGATTAATGGAGATTACAGCAGCAGGATGAGGGCAAGAGGGAAGTGGATGCTGGCCGTAAAAGGGCAGCGTGAATCCTTGTGGTGATGGGAATGTCCTTTATCTGCCTGGGTCAGGTCAGTCTCCTGGTTGTGATATTGTACTGTAGTTTTTGCAAGATATTGTCACTGGGGGAAAGAAGATAGAAAGAACTGCCCAGTGTGAGGTGGGCCCACACTTTAAGAGACTAGACTGCATGGACCTGTGAATTGAATAACATTTATTTGAATGTTTTTCTTGTTCATGTTAGCAAGTGTTTTTTGTTGATAATTTTCTCTAATTTTAATTGATAAAGTGATTTCATATTCAAGTGTTTGTTAATTTCACATTTCTGTTGGTGAGTATGTGGAAGATAGATTTATCATAAAAGAGATGTTTTCTTACTTTGATGCTTCTAAACCAATCTTGTTTTTCCGTGAGGGTTTTGGGGGTTGGTTGGTAGGGATGGATAATAGCCCTGAAGTCATGTCTCACTTTACTTCTTATCTGCCTAAACGTGGAAATGGAGCTGGACCATCTCTAAAGTCCCCCATCAAGCTCTAAAATTCTGTGACTCTTACTAGGATGAAAATGGATTGCCTCAAGATCAACAGGAGGAGGAGCCAATTCCTGAGACCAGAATAGAAGTAGAAATACCCAAAGTAAACACTGATTTAGGAAATGACTTATATTTTGTTAAGCTGCCCAACTTTCTCAGCGTAGAACCCAGGTAAGGGAATCAGTTGGTAGTTTTTTAATGTTGGATAGGAATGTGTAGAATGTTGATATTTTTCTTACTTTGTATGAATTGACTAGTCACAAAACGGAAAACTCGTCATGTATCTCTGAAAAAATAAAAATCGAATATTTCCTGTGATAGAAAAAGTATGGACTATTGGTAAAGGAGATTTATAATGCTTGTAATTGTTTTTAGCAGTCTGTTACTTTCTTATGAATTAACAGATAATCACTAGTCTTGGGTGTTTCTGACTAATGAAGCCCTGAAAAAACTGAAATTGAGAGTAGTGAAGTTTGCTAGAAAAACTGCAGATGTCCTCTATAGCAGCCATTGTGGGTCTAGAAAAACTAATGGTTTGGACTGTTAAACAGCATTGATGGATATTATTCACTAAGTGACATGCAAGCTCTTTGTGCTATTTAAAAATTTTTTCCTAAGCAAAATGTGGAAAGCTAGGGTATACATGGCCTACTTGTTCAGAGACTTACATAAGAATTAAGAGTACTTGAATATTTAGCCTTGCTTGCTCTTTATTTCAAGCAATATGTATTTTTTTTTCAAGCAATATGTATTAATACCAAATTTCAAGAAGGTGCAGTAATTTGAATACATCCTTATAGTTGAACATGAAGATATTTGACTATTATGATTTTTAGCTATTATGATTTTTTTAAGTTGCTTTATATAGCAGGAATATTCCTTACAAAATATGATTAATAGTTTATTTTAAAAACAATTTGTAGACCATTTGATCCTCAGTATTATGAAGATGAATTTGAAGATGAAGAAATGCTGGATGAAGAAGGTCGAACCAGGTTAAAATTAAAGGTACCATTCTGTGCTTTACCCCTTTCTTTTTTTCTTTTATAAAGTAAAACCTGGGGATGCTAACTTGAGACTTAAGTTTTTGAAAATGATCTTCTCTGTTTCCTGTGTCATCAAAAAATGAATTGTCTACCTTTTCAGAATATTTTTTAGAAAGAAAATAGCATAGATTTTTCTCTGTGAAGGCATCACTTTTTTATCACTTTTTTTTTTTTTTTGCTATATTACATCTTTTGGTGCTTTAAAAAGATTATTAGCTACTTTCTTCAGAATAAGTTGTACTGTGGTTTGTGTTTAGAACAGCTCCCTCCATATTTGTTGTGGGTTAAGATCTAGCAACTTCCTGCAAGGGGAAATTATCTTCAGGCTCTTTGATCTATGGATGAACAAATCATATACAAAAGAAGAATTTATTACTGCTACCTAACACTTCACCACATGGCTGTCTTTGTATTTTTCTAATTGTTCTTGTTCACTATTAGGAGAGATTTTTATTGTGCTAAATTCCTATTAATGCTTCTCTTTGAGACCTTGTACTGTCTGGTTACTCTGTTCAAGGAGGGCCTCTAATCTTCCTTTAATCAAGGAGGATGTAGGTTTAAGTAGATGGTTTAGAGCTGAGTTGTAGCACAGTAACAAGAAACTGTTGAACTCATGATACCGAAACTGGTGCCATGCATTTTAAATTCTTAAATCTGAAGATTTCCTGTAAATACTTTCTTTTTTTTCCAGTAGATATTGTACATGGTATTAAAATATTAAGAAGTGAGAGTCTGGCCTTCTTAGAATTCAGGGGCTGAACTTTTAGAATAATTCCATCTTTCAAGTTTAATGGATCCATAAGTACCTAAAGAACCTTGATATAAAATGGTTTCTCTAAAAGGCGTGAGCTTCCAAAGCTTTTCAGTGAAATTTCATTACTCCTCCCACTTAATGGAAATGTAAATCAGATGAGAAAAGAGATAAACAGGCACCATTAACTTGGTCAAGGTCACACCATTAATATATAGTACTTAGGCTTTTTTTTTTTTGCTCTTCTTCTTACTTCCCCTCCTCTCTCTCCATGTTAGGTTATCTCTTAATGTTTCCTTTGGAACATGTGTATATCTATTGTTTTAAGGTTAGCACTTAATTTTTCTTGACTGTTTTAGTACCTCTGTAGTTACTCTGTTGCTTTTATTTCTCATCATTTATATAAATTAATGTGATAGTTCCTTATTTACTTTTTACTGATTTTTACATTTTCCCCTTATGTTCTATCATGATACATTGACAAGTGTCAATGTATCTATGTTTTAAGGTCACGTAATACCAGACTCTAGTTAATTAGCATTAATGCCTGGAAATAAATGTTTTACTCTGAAACCTTAGTGTGTACACTACAAAATGTCAGTGTATAGCAGACTATTGTTTTTTAAAACCTTGATGGGTGATGGAAAATAACCTTGGATCTTTGGTTTTTTTGAATGATGCTCTTGAGACAAGGCCTACCATTCTTAAAGAGTCAGTTGGTGGTATGATTAATTCTTTAATGAACAAAGAACCAGGTACATTTTATGTACCTCTCTGAGGTTCTGTGTCTTTAGAAGTACTTTAATGTGTCTTTCATCCCAATAGGGTAAGACCTAGCAGAGTATGCTATCACAGCATCGTTATTATTTGAATCACCTTATACAATAGGAAGCGTTTCTCAAGGTGGCTTCACAGTTAATAATGGCCCGTGTGTTTTCATATTTCTGTGTGGCTGACCTGTCTTATGCTTCCCTTGTGGCTCAGCTGTAAAGAGCCTGCCTGCAATGTGGGAGACCTCTGTTTGATCCCTGGGTTGGGAAGCTCCCCTGGAGAAGGGATGGCTACCCACTCCAGTATCCTGGCCTGGAGAATTCCGTGGACTGTGTAGTCCATGGGGTCGCAAAGAGTCAGACACGACTGAACCACTTTCACTCAGTCACTCAACCTATTTTATAGGACTTCTCTGGTGGCTCAGTGGTAGAGTCTACCTGCTAGTGCAGGAGACATGGGTTCTGTCCCTGGTTTGGGAAGATTCCCCTGGAGAAGGACATGGCAACCCACTCCAGTATTCTTGCCTAGAGAACCCCATGAACAGAGGAGGCTGGTATGCTACAGTCCATGGGGTTGCAAAGAGTCAGACACAACTTAGCGACTGAACAACAACAACAAACCTATTCTATTTGAGAGGGAAGGCAGGGATAACAACAGATCATTTTGTTTAGCTTCTTTTATTAAGAAAAATTTCAAACATAAACAGAAATAGCAAGAACAGTATAGTAAACTCTCATGTACCCATCATTCACTTCAGTGGTTGTCAGGTTGGACATCTTATTTCATCTGTATTCCTCACCCCATCTTACCCAGACTGTTTGGAAACAAATCTCAGATATGACATCATATGTAATATTGAAAGTGAAAGTCACTCAGTCGTGTCCGACTCTTTGTGACCCCATGAACTATAGAGTCCATGGAATTCTCCAGGCCAGAATACTGGGGTGGGTAGCCTTCCCCTTCTCCTGGGGATCTTCCCAACCCAGGGATCAAACCCAGGTCTCTTGCACTGCAGGTGGATTCTTTATCAGCTGAGCCACAAGGGAAGCCCAAGAATACTGGAGTGGGTAGCCTATCCCTTCTTCAGTGGATCTTCCCAACCCAGGAATTGAACTGGGACCTCCTGCATTGCAGGCGGATTCTTTACCAACTGATCTATTGCATTCTTAATCAGCCAGCTTCATAGTTTGTTTATTTAGTGAGGAATAAAGAAGGATAGGGGGAAACTGGAAAGAAATCATTAGGACACAGTTGTAGAGTCAGTTAACAGAGGAGATCCAGAAAATCTAGCTGGGAGTGGGAGTGGCTGCTGTCAGGGTAGACGGTAGGGGCAGAGGCAGGGGGATGCTTGGGCTTCAGCCTGTCGGTTTTCAAAGTGCTGGCTTTTCTTTGATGCCATCTTCGTTCACATTCTCTTTCTCCTTGTGAGTGTGACCTTTTTCAGTTCTTTGCTGTCATTTTAGTGCATTTCCAGTATGTGGCATGGATCAAGTACATAGTGTGCTGTATTTTCCTGGAGGTCCCATTGAGTTTTTAATTTAAATAACAGTGGTTTTCATTTTAGGAAGACTTTGAATATTTTGCAAATCTGTCTGGTATTCCCCCCTCCCCATAAAGTTAAGATAAAGTTAGACTCTGAACCTGCTCAAACTTGGAGTTTTTATTTTCATAAGGTGCTGTTTTTTCCTTACCTGTATGTGGGGGTTTCCTTATCTTCCTAAGCCAGTAGGCAGAGTTTTTTAGTCCCACATTTATTGGGTTTTTAGTTCTATGAGAGAACCTGCTTTATATAGGAGTCTCAATCCTAGATTGCTATTTCGTATGGCTTCAAAGCTTATTTCTTCTCCTGCTAGCTTTTCCTGTGTCTTATAACTTCTGGAGGTTACTACAGATTTAGCACCTGCTCAGATGCCCTGGCACTGAGCTCTGTTTGTAGTTCCAGTACTATGTCAATGTATGACAAAAAACACTACAATATTGTAAAGTAATTAGCCTCCAACTAATAAAAATAAATGGAAAAAAATAAATAAAAGTAGGCTGGAAATATGATCGTCCTCTGGCTATAGCACCGTAGTCAGGAAAATTAGACCAGCTCCCCTGCCCATTGCGTACTCCTGCCTAGAAGTTGACACTTTAGTAAAACTGCCCTTCACTGGGAAGGTGGTAGGCGCTGAGTGAATGTCACAGCATGTTTTGCTTCCTAAACATAAACACACAGCGTTCTTTACTTCTATGTAAGTCTTTTTTCACATCATGCCTTTTTATTCTTCCCTTGCTTCTGTGTTAGGAGAGAAAGCAGCCATTGATTCACATTCAAAGAGAAGTAAATGGAGAGAGAGAGAGCTTTCTGACTAACATGTGAAGTGTTCCTTCTTTTCAGCATGTCCCTGCACTTAGGGAATGAGGTATTTGATGTTTACAAGGCTCCGCTGCAGGGCGATCACAACCACCTTTTTATAAGACAAGGTACCGGTCTACAGGGACAAGCCGTCTTTAAAACCAAACTCACATTCAGGTAATTACTCTTGTCAACGTACTATTTGTTAAACAGTAAAAGCAGTGAAATACAGGTGTTGTTCAAAATGCCTGACTCCTGATTGGCGTAACCTCACAGTATAGTTCCCCAAAGACCAAGATCTGGTTTTCAGCTCTGAAGGTTCAAAGGCTCTTTTGTCGAGTGCTCTGAAAGTTGCTGCTTCACAGGGAGCCAGGTCGTGCTAACCAGAGATCCAGGAGGCTGGTATGTAAACCAGAATGTCAGTGTATTAATTCTAGTGATTACTATAGCTGCCAAGAGGCCTAAGAGTACTAACTGGGCAGTGTGTCTTTCTTTTTAGTAAAATTTACCTGAGAGACGGATAGAGGTTCTTAGTGGGCATGCAGTCAGAGGAAGGGCAATGAGTTGGTGGGTGTGAAGGCCAAGGTCATCTGTTCTTTAGGCCCCTGCATCCACTACCTCTTCAAGCAGTCCTGCACACTTGGGTCAGCTGGCAAGCGCATTCCCCTTGTCAAGACAGGACAGGCAGGGCAGTGAAACGTTCATGTTTTTCTTTCCTTGATTCTAAGCAGATCATCCTCCTTGGGTAATGCTTACCTTTAGAGTTGGCACAGTATTCTTGGTTATGAATTACATTTTCAAAATTGTAATGGTCAAGATTGTAGGCTTTGGAATCAAATAGACCTGTATCTAAGTCTCACTTCCACATGTATGACCTTGTGCAACTTTTCTCAAATTTTCCTTGCCTCAGTTTCCTAATATATAAAATGTAATAATTATCTCATAGAGGAGCTATGACAGTGAAGTCATGTAATATATAAAACACAGGAGTACAGTGCTTGGCACTCAATTTTCAATGAATGCTTCTTGGTTTTTGTTTGTTTGTTTTTTCTTTTTTTGTTTTCTTTCTTTCTCTTTTAATTTTTACTTTTTAATGAATGCCTTGTGAACCCATCAATTTACTGCTTCTAGAGGGTGATCATGCTGTGCAAGCCTTTTTTACTCAACCTTTCCATATTTTACTTCACTTGTGGAGATTAGAATGGTTTAGTAAGCTGCAGAATGAAGAAAGGTTAGAATCCCCATCTAGTATATGGTTTTGTGTCTCTGCCTATTTTTTTCTTGAGAATGGGAAATGCTCACTGGCCTCCTCTGATGTTGGTATGGCTGGCTGACAAATGTATTTGCCAAACAGTGAGGTATTTTTGTTCATTTCCTGCAGACCTCATTCTACAGACAGTGCCACACATAGGAAGATGACACTGTCACTTGCAGATAGATGCTCAAAGACACAGAAGATTAGAATCTTGCCCATGGCTGGTCGTGATCCTGAGTGCCAGCGCACAGAGATGATCAAGGTATGTTGGCTGAGCTTTTTCCTAGAATTTTGATATATTAAGAAAAGCATTTCCCAAAATGTTGTTCATCATCTCTTATTGATCTACCCTTTCCTCCTTCCATCTGGCATGAACAGGGAGCTGGTTTCCATTTCCTAAACGTTTGGCAAATAAGGGTGATGTGGTGAAGGTCCTAAAACAGACCCTGGCTTGGTTTCTCTCCCACCAAGTCCTGAGAGCAACCTGTTGACTAAAAGAATCTGAACCTTCACAGATAATTTCAAGGATGATTAAATAAGTCATCCATGGCTGATTTGGCACCCATGTCAAAAATCAGTGGAAATGCTCGAGCATTAGTCTAGATAGAATATAAAAAGGCCCGAAGTTTCCTCCCTTTTCCACTGAAGGTAGGGGGGCTGAAGGACCTGCAGGCTCCAGGGTCACGTTGAGAGATGCCCAGGCCCTCCTTCTCTTCCCCAACTTCTATGGAAATGCACAAGGAACCCGCTAGATTGTTTTTAATCCCTGTTCTGTTGACAGTGATTTTTACAGAATCAGAGTTGTATGCAGTAATAAAGCAATTAAACAAGAAATCAAGGGAATGCCAGAACATCCCTGACCTCTCATAGCCCGGCCTGCCTGGTGAACCTCAAGGTGTGGAAGCTAGGCAGATAGAAGAGAATGAAGGGTCTATTTTGGGGCTCAGGGCCCCTCTCCACCAGCACCCCCTCATTCTGCTGTTAGCTTTTGGGAGTGCCCTGGGTTGAGGGCACCAAGCAGGAATATCTGGGCGCCATGGTAGTTTGGTGGAGCCTGACAACTCAGGTGTGTGTCTCAGGGTGAAGAGAACCTGCCTCCCTCAGGCATCCGCTGGGCACGGACAAGGTTCCTCAGACTGGTCGTGCCGTCTGGACTGTTCCTGGCAGCAGAGGGGATGCTGCAGCTCCCAAGGCCGTGTCCGCCAGTTGTGATGGGGCGGTTGGTGTGAGGGAGCCTCCTGCCTCTTTACCCCGTGTTATCTTCACACCTTAGAATTGAACAGGACAGTGACCGTGTGTGGGAACAGAGGTGTGAAATGGAGAGAACTCACCTTGAGGACGTAGGAACTGGTGTTATCCTGGGCAAGGCATTTACATGTTCTTGAGAGTAAAGAAGTTTCAAGTGGGCATTCAGTGAGTTCATCTTTTTAAAAGTTCACTAATTTGCTTCTTTACAGAAAGAAGAAGAACGTTTGAGGGCTTCTATTCGTAGGGAGTCTCAGCAGCGCCGCATGAGAGAGAAACAGCACCAGCGGGGACTGAGTGCTAGTTATCTAGAACCTGATCGATACGATGAGGAGGAGGAAGGCGAGGAGTCCATCAGCCTGGCTGCCATTAAAAACCGATACAAAGGGGGCATTCGAGGTGAGTTTGAGCAGAAATGAAATTTCGTCATTTCGGGGTCCTGGAATTCATCTTTGCATTCAGTATACTGTGAATGCCGAGTCATTGGGCATTTTATTTTTTAGGAATCGGTGTTAATGAGTGAGACGTTTCAAGGTTTCAAGAGGTAGTCATTGTGAAATTCTCTTGGGTCAGCCTAGAAGAGTAGAAGCTGCGTGTCCTGTCACTTCTGGGCGCATCTCTTGAGCTTCTGCTCTCTGGTTTGAAAGTCTGCCAACTGTGTATCTTGGAACTTTTCTCCACTTTTAAAATTACTAATTAGGAATCAGGAAGCTCAGTTTTTCAGAGAATACATGTGTTTTCTTTCAAACTTCTCCATTGTATATTCTTTTCTTTCATAAGTACCAGTAATTTATAATGGTCATTCAGTACCTACTGAGTTCCAGGCAGACACTCAAACGTGGATCCTGTTTGGTCCTCATAATAATGTTATGACCCAGTTACTATTATTATCTTGTTCTTTTTTTTTAAAATTGTATTAATTGAATACTGAACTAATTGCATTAGTTTCAGGGTTACAGTCTAACAATTCGATATTTGTATGTATTGTGAAGTGATCGCTATAAGTCTAGTTAGTTAATAACTTCTGCCACCAAAGATAGTTGTAGAATTCTTTTTCTTGTAATGGGAACTTTTAATATCTGCTCTCAGCAACTTTAAAATATGCAGTGCAGTATTACTAACTTTAATCACCGTGCTGTACACTATATTGCCAGGATTTATTTATCTTATAACTGGAATTTTGTACCTTTTGACTCCCTTCGCCCCCACCCTCCACTAATCTGGCTTCTGTATCTATGAGCTTGGTTCTTTGTTTTCCATTTTTTTCACATCCCACATATAAGTGAGATCATACGGTAGTTGTCTTTCCTTGTGTGACTTATTTCACTTAGTTTAATGCCTCAGGATCCATTTTTGTCTCACCCTTGTTGAGGAAACTGAGACTTTGAGAGGCTGAGTGGCTTGCGCAAAGACACAGCTGGTACACACAGAGTTCGAGACTCAGGCGGCCTGACTTCTGAGGCATCTGTCTCAGCCACAGTACTGCCTCCAGAAATTTCCCCACAGCCAGCAAGTGAGATGTCGTGCTGAAAAGTAAACTGAACCTGAGGTGGAAGACCAGGCTGGACACCCTGATCCTGCCTGCTCTGATCTTAGCCCTGCTACTTTCTAGTTGGATGACTTTTGGAAAGTTACAGTACCTCTTTTCTGTTACGTTATCAAGGAAAAAGCTGCTTATTAGTAAGTGTTTACACCATGAGGTTGTTTTGAAAATTGATTGACATACTGCATATTAAATACTGTATCCAGTGCCCGGCATATAACAAGTACTAAATAAATGTCACACAATACTATCATCGTTGTACTTGCCACTCATCAGCTTCAGGAGTGACTCCACATCTCTGAATATATCACATTCCCCATTGGTAAAATGAGGACCTAATCTTCTCCAGATGAGCTTTAATAGAGCTTTGGGAATCACTGTACAAAACCTTGGGTCACCATGTTAATGGTTTTGCTCTGTTAGAATGATAAATTTTAAGAACACCCAAATTTCCCTTTCTCTGACCATCCCATGAGATGCCTTTCTCCGACCATCCCATGAGATGCCTTTCTCCTTTTTTTTTTTTTTAACAGCAACTGCATTTGTTCTGGTGGACTTTTTACACCCTTCATACCTGCCTATTATTTATTTTGGGACTACAGTATAAAGACCTTTTATTTTTTCGTTAGTGCTAATTTCCCACAGAAAAGATTAATTGGAGAAATACATGCCATATAAACTAAATAAAAACACAAAAAATTGAGGATGTCTTTAGGAGAGAGTTATATAATATTCAGTTCCCCAGTGATTACAGTCCTAACAGGCAAGTTTATTAACGATCAGTTCTGTCCGGTAGGCAGGTAGGCAGGGAGTAGGGAGAACAGGAAGGCTTCAGGCTATTAAGTGAGGAAGTTGGTCTAATATCAACTGTTCTTATTTCACCCATGCTTCACCTGAGCTGGGGCATCAGCACAGACTTATTCGTCTCCATCTCCCTTGAAATGTCTACCTGGCAATAGGTGGTCTTTATCGGCCCTGGAAACCACCTCCTGTTTTATCTCCAAAGCTTGAGTTAACTGTTACTTGTATGAAAGAATGACTCAGGCTATTTTGGAAGAATAGCGATGTCTGTCTCTTTAATCATCTTGCACACAAACCTTAAAAAAAATTTTTTTAAATCAGTCTCGTATTTGAGAGGACAAGTACTTCGTTTCAACAGATCTCAATTTACGTTTATCTTTAAAGTTTAAAAGCTTTTATTTTTGGCTGCGCTGGATCTTCACTGTTGCTTGCAGGCTTTCTCTAGTTGCAGCAAGCAGGGGCTAGTCTGTACTGTGGTGCACAGATGTCATTGTGGTGGCTTCTCTTGTTGTGGAGCATGGGCTCTAGAAATGCAGGCTTCAGTACTTGTGGCACATGGGCTTAGTTGTGGCATGTGGAATTTCTCCTGGACCCGGGATTGGATCTGTATCCCCTACATTGGCAGGTGGATTCTTAGCCACTGTACCACCAGGGAAATCTGAAATTTTAAAAGTTTTTAACTGTTTGCTTCTTTGTAAACAATATATAGAAGGAACTGAAGATATACATCAGAAGAAAGATCCAGGACTGGATTATCTTTGAAAGTCACTCACAAATCTTACTCTTTGCTTTCAGAGGAACGAGCTAGAATCTATTCATCAGACAGTGATGAGGGATCAGAAGAAGATAAGGCTCAAAGGTTACTCAAAGCGAAGAAACTCACCAGTGATGAGGTAAAACCAAATTTATTCAATTCTAGAGGTTTACCCTGTACCCACAGGTTAATGCCTGGAATGAGGAGGAGCTCACAGCCTAGGAGCACAGACATATGTCTACACACTCCACTGAAGTTCAGTGAGATAAATCCAGAAGCAGGCTGGGAGTGGCCCAGATGGGCGTCTGATACCTCTGCTTAGAGAAGGAGACCCCTTCTTGGTGTGTTGGAGGAAGAATGCTAGCACAGGGCACACCAGCCAGGATGGGCACGCCAGGTAGATGCAGAGGCCTGGGAGAAGACAGGCCCTGAGATAGCCAGGCTTTACTGGAGGACTGCTACAGAAATCATTTAGTGTGGGTAGACAGTGTGTGTATCTCTTCTTTCTTTTGCTCTTTTTAAAAAATTTTCAGTAAGTTTTAAAAATTACAGAAATAATTCTTATGGTAGAAAAATCTGTTTTCTTTTTATGTAGATGAACTAGTATTTGAAATAGTATTGAGTAATTCAATAAAATAAATTTCCATGTGTTACTGAAATAATAAAATTTCAAAGGAATTTTAAGTTATATTTTTAACAGTCTCCTTTTCAAATTATGAGAGTTCAGGTACTGAGAAATTTTAAGTCTTTTTTTCAAGATATATGTAACTTAATACATGATATATGACATGTAACTTTATATAACTATATTATTTCAGGTGTACAACATATTGATTTGATTGATATATGTATATATTGCAAAGTGATTACCACAGTAAGTCTAGTTAACATCCATCACCACAATAGTTATGTATATTTTTTTCTTGTGATGAGAACTTTTATAATCCATGTTCTTAGCAACTTTAAGTTGTACAATAGAGTATTGTTAACTATAGTCACTGTGCTGTGCATTACATACCCAGGACTTACTTATTTTATTTAAGTCTTTATAGATTATTGTTATTTTTGGTGTTCTTGAACTGTTCTGTGGTATCCTACTTTGAATTTCTTTTAATTTCTCTGATTGGGATCTGTTAGACTTTCTGAATTTATAGATTGATATCTTTCATTGGTTCTGAAAATTTCTTAGCCATTAATTCTTCAGATATTACTTTGTACCATTCTTTTCCTTTCTTCATGAAACTGATTAGATGCATGTTATTCCTTCTCACTCTATCCTCCAGTACTCTCAAACTGTCCTTCATATTTTCCATGTCTTTTTCTCTTTGCATTCTTGGATAGCTTCTTCTAGTTCACTGCTTCTTTCTTTAGCTGTCTAATACATTATTGATCTTTTTTACTCAATTTTTAACTGTTCCAGTTTTTCAATCTCTAGAGGTTTAGTTTTTCAAATTGGTCATTAAAAAAAACCTGCTTCTAATTCATATTTTTCAGTTTCTCCTTTATGTCTTTAAGTATTTTAAACCTACTAGTATGGTCTTTTATATCTGATAATTCTGAAGTCTTTACATATGTGGTTTTACTTCTTATTATTTCTGATAGTGGTTTCATGATGACTTATTTCTCCATGTGTTCTGTAATTAAATGATTGATTTACTCAGATCAGTGGACATTTTTATAGCCTAGATTGATGGATTCCTCTGAAGATGATATATATTTGCTTCTGTCGGGTACCTTGGGACTACTTTAAATTATATTCTTGGAACAGGTTGTTTTAGTTTTACTGGAAGTATGGGTTCTGACTTGTTGTTATGAATTTTCCTAGAAATGTTTAAATTTTTTCTTAATCCCCTCTTAATTAGTTCAAATGTTAGAGACTGGAAATTATGCTTGCAGGCATTTGAAACAGGGGTTGGCAAACTACATCCCGCTGACTAATCTAGCTTGCCACCTGTTTTTTTTTCAAATAAACTTTTTTCAGAATCTACCCATAGTTATTCATTTATCTATTGTCTCTGGATGTTTTCCTTCTGTGGTGACAAGAGTTGCTTAGTTGCAACAGAAACCATATGTCTTGTAAAGCCCAAGACATTTAGCCTCTGGCCCTTTACCAGGATGATTTGCTGACCCCTGCCTCAGAGAAAGCGGCTTGGGCTTATCTCTAGTTCACCTGAACAGTAAAGATACAGTCCTTTGGGGTCTGTTGTTAATCTGCTGCACTTGGCCTTAGTGTCCTGTTCTCAGCACCCTGCAAGGCATAAAAGCAGAGCTTGTGTTCATATAGTTTGGTAACTGTCTTCAAGGAGAAAGCCTGCTTTAAGTCCTCTGCTCGTCTCTGTGGGTTCTTGGTTTTGCTTAATTTTTGGCTTGTGATTATACCTTATTTTCTTGCCATCACTTGGGTTTGTTTATAGTTTTTCATCATTGTTATTTTCAGTGAGAGGGTTATTCAGAGGACTGTTCTGCCATATTGTGGAAACATTGTTGTGTTCCTGTTAATCATGATTTTAATGTACTTTGATCATTTTGGCCTTCTATGAACTGTGAACTTGCACGAGCTCTTTTCTCATGTGAAACGGAATTTTGTCCTTGTGTTACTGTTTGTTAATCACAACATTTAGTATTTCCCAGTCTTCCTTGGAAGTGGTATGCTATGGAAGATAAATAGACAAAATTGTTAAATTATTCTGCAACATATTTGTTTTAAATTAGATAGGAGATGTCTCAATGATGCATTTACAGTGTGTTGAACTGTTGGCAAACGGCAACTGTCATCTAAGCAGATGCCGTTTTATTTATTGGCAAGCAGAAACTGAATGAAAATTGAAAAGTGCCATGGCATGGGACTTCTGTTTATTCCTAGAATTCTCAGAAATGAGATTTCTACATGTGATCTATCAGATAGCCTTCTTTGAGGCCGGGCAATTACAAACCTGTAACTGCATGACTTAAAAATATCTCTTGCGAATGCCTCCTAGCTATCCGTTACAGGAGCTGCCCTCTACGTCCCTCACCTGAATATTCGCTGTGAAGTCTTCCTGTCCCCCTCATTTCTCCTTTCCTGTCAACAGAGACTTCACTTCTGCCTGGACCTCCCAACCTCCTCACCACCCAGTTCAAGTCCTGGGGTGGGTTACAGTGGGTGGGGGGCGGGGGAGTGGAGGGGAACGTGCTCTAGGCCTCTCTCCTTATTTGCACACTAAACCCCACCCACACGCCTTGAATCTAGGTATTCCTCTGAGATAAAGCCAGTTTTCAAACCTTAAGTCCCCGCACCAGAGAATGACCATTGTCAGGAGAGCATCCCTTGATATGGGGGAAAGGACAGGGCTCTGGATTGCTGAATCTTGGGGCTACCCTCTACCTCTTGTATTGGCTTCAGCAAGTCATCTCACATTTCCAAGTCTGTTTCCTCACCTGTTCTATGGGACTTACGCTGTCTGCCTTATAAAGTTGTATTCTAGTTAATAACAGCTATGAAAGTAGGTGTCACAGTGAATGCTCACTTCCCTTCCCCAATAGGGTCTAAGTTACAAAAAAGAAAAATGAAGCTTTTCATACTCCCTAATTTTTGTAAGCAGAGACAACTTTAGAAAACCTAAATTACTTCCAAAGTGAAAGGTTGGTAGTAGTAGAAGAAACTGTGGAAAAGGGAAAGATCCCCGTGGAAAGGAACATGCAGACAATGAGAAGAAAGAGTGGCATGTCCAGGCCTCCACTTTGTTGAGTAAAAGAGGTGACCTGCTGGGGACTGCCTAGAATGGGACGCTGGTGGTCTGCTTCCTCTCTGTGTCTCCGTCCTCCCCCAGCTCTGCCTCATGGACCCTCCATTCCCCCTTGGCAGCTTCGCCTTTCCTGTGAGAGGCCCCTGTTTTTATGGCGCCATCAGCAACTTGGAACAGCTGCAGCCCCCACTCCCCTCCAGTGTGAGGCTTTCCCGGGGCCGAGGTTCAGATTGTGTCCCTGGAAGGCTTGGCTCTCTGGGTGTTGGTTTCTTGTACTTTAAGATACCTTAATTGGTATATATTCTGAGGTATATTTTGGGTTAAGTAAACTCTGAGAGCTGTTTATAATGCGAGTTTTACAATCAGCCTAAAAGATAAATTGTTAGAAGACAGTTCCTGTATAATTGTGGGTTGCCTGTTTCTTTGTCTTTAGGGACCCGCATTCATGACTGTGAGGCTTCCCAGGTGGTGCTAGTGGTAAAGAACCCACCTGCCAATTCAGGAGACGTAAGAGGCTTGGGTTCGATCCTTGGTTCGGGAAGATCCCCTGGAGGAGGGCATGGCAACCTACTCTGGTATTCTTGCCAGGAGAATCCCATGGACAGAGGAGCCTGGCAGGCTATAGTCCATAGGGTTGCAGAGAGCCGGACACGACTGAAGCGACTTAGCATGCAGGAACTCATTCATGACTATATTAGGAAGCTTTGTGTTCGTCCAGTATATTTTTGTCATGTGTTGTATTTACATGGCACAGCGGTTTATCCCAGCTAAGTTTGAGACAGAATCCCACACTCCTAATTTCTCAAAATGAGATCTCCTGAAGGCTGCCACTAACTTTCTAAATCCTGAGAGTAGTAGGTCTGCATGCCTTTTCTGGACTTCACTGTGCTTGTCTGTAGCTGCCAGGGCAGTCAGTCCTGGAAGGGTTTTCAGAGTTGAATTCCAGAGCATCTTACCCCAGACCGAGGATTAGAACTGGTGCTGGTTAGGCCCCTTTGGGAGAGCTTTGACCTGGCTCCTTCCCTCCCAGCTGTTGGGCGTTGTCTGTGACCCTTCAGGACAGGTGCTCCCACCTTTTAGAAATACTGTGCCAGCTGTTCTTTTATTCACCCAAACCCATTAAAAATTTTTAGAGCTGAAGAGACCACACACACTGAAATTTACTTGGGCAAGGTTGCCACAAACAGGCTTGCATGTAAAGTGTTTAAGATAAGATTCATCAGCTGAAAATAAATGAAAAATAGTGGTGGTAGTCAATGTCCTCCTCCTTTTGCCTGTGTGGGGTTAGGAGAGAAGTATCTGGGTTTGCCCAAGCCTGGGAAGTAGACAGGAGGCTAGTAGAGCCTGGGGCAGGATTCATCTTCCAGGCTTTCTGTTAGAGTAACTTGACTGCCACCTGCTGGGAAGTAAGTGCAGGGGGACCTCTGGATCTCTTCCTGTGGATTATAACTGTCCTGTTTGAATTCTCCTATGACTTCGGATCTGTGGGGATGCATTTGGGATAATAAGGCAGAACACAAGTGTGGGGTACGATCTTGGCCCAGGCATAGGGACCATCAGAAGAAGTGGCCATGCCTGCTTGGATGCTATGTCCAGAAGCAGTCCTTTGGACAGGGTAGTAAGAGGCCTGGCCTTGCCCGGCTTCAGCCTTAAACTGTTCACCCTGTCATATTTTTCATGAAGAATCTCATTAAGGCAATTCTGGAGTGTCATATTTAGTATCATTTCATTTTCATCAACATTTGATATTAATTCAGTGTTGATCTGTTTGAAATCTATCTGTAACAATTGTTTTAACTTCCTGAGTTTTTTGTTTCTGTTAGAACACTGTGCAGCATTATTTTAAGCTTTGGAAGCTTGTGTATGAAGCCCTTTAATTTCTTCAAAAATTGTTTAAAAATTAAAAAAAATACATACTTGGCTGCATCAGCTTTTCGTTGCATCATGTGGGATCTTTCATTGCGGCACACAGGCTCACTAGTTGTGGCAAGCTGGTTTAGTTGCTCTGAGGTATGTGGGATCTTAATTCCCAGACCAGGGACCGAACCCACGTTCCCTGCATTGCCAGGTGGACTCCTAAACAGGACCACCAAGAAACTCCCTCAAATTTTTTTTTTAAAAATCTTTATGAGTTTTTAGTACATCCAAAACAAGAAATTATTTTTTTAAATTGACAGTCTTTAAAAGTTTTTTTTACATAATGAAGAAGTGAAGTCTGAGGACGTGGAGAAAAAGAGTTTAAGTAAAATATTCAGCAGGACAAGTGATTCATAGGCTAACCTCTTTGGGAGAGCGCTAAGCCTTCCCAGGGCAAAGCCCGTTTCCACTTTCCTGCAGCCCTTCTCCATGTAGAACAGCTTCTTCCCTCTGTGAGACTGGGTCACAACTGCTTATCAGCTCACCCTTGTGGTCCTGAAGTTGGGTTTTAGGATTAGTTTTGTAAACACTCTGGAGTCATTTTGAACAACTCTAGTACTTGTAGATTTGGAAACTGCCATGACCTAAACCACTGGTTTTACAGCTGGTAAACATTCTTATTACAACAGTTATGTTATTTTGGGTTTTCCGAGGGTTATTCAGTTCAGAGCTACTTTTGATAAATCTTTCTAGAAATATTCTCTATGAATTTTTAGACTTTAAAGATTTTTATCTGTTTAGGAGGGTGAGCCTTCTGGAAAAAGAAAAGCAGAAGATGACGATAAAGCAAATAAAAAGCACAAGAAGTACGTGATCAGTGATGAAGAGGAGGAAGATGATGATTGAAGTACAAAATGTGAAAACTTTATATATTTTACTGTACAGTTTGTTTTATAAATATGTAAACATGAGTTATTTTGATCAAAAGAAATTGATTTGCTTTTGAGTAATTTTAATTGTAATAAAAAATTTTAAAAAGCAAGTCTCTGTTCAAGAAATGGACTTCTTCCGAAGCAGGTTGATTTTGTTCATGCTTCACACTAAATCTTAGGTTTTAGTATGTTCCTCCCAGGCCCTGCAAAGAAGCCTGGCCAAGGCCCAGTGAAGCAAGTGAGGCATTCTTCTGGGGTGCAGAGTTTTTAAAAATTGGCACAAAAAGCTTCCATAGTTGTATTCGTTTGCTAGGGCTGCTATAACAAAGTACCACAAACTGGGAGACTTCACACTAAAGAAACGTATCCTCTCATAGTTCTGAAACCTAAAGTCCTAAATCAAGGTGTCAGCAGAGCCATGCTTCCTCTGAAGGCTCTAGGGAAGGCTCCTCCCCCTGCATGGTCTTAGCTTTTGGAGGCTTCCATTGTCCTTGACTTGTAGCAGCATCATTCTAATTTCCCCTCTATCTTCACATGGGTTGTTTCGCTGTGTGTCTGCTCTGTGTCGCCAGATCCCACTCTCCTTTAAGGACACGCATTGGTGGTTTAGGGTCACCCCTAGTCCTGTGTCCACTCATCTTAATAATTACATCAGCAAAGATCCTATTGCTAAATAAAATTACATTCTGAGGTTCTGGTTGGATATGAATTTGGAAGGGTCCCTATTCAGCCCACTGTAGTAATCAAGTTAAATAACATTGTGATACAGCATTTTAGAAAATTAAAATTAATGCAAAAATATGATGGACAAAATGTCAAAAATTCACATAAAGATGATCTAGCAGGTCTGGGATTAGGGTAAGGCAAGTGACAGGAGTTATACAAGTACAGAGCTCCATGGATCACCTCTATTTAAAATTTTGATGTTTTGTTCAGTGGGTTTTTTTGTGGTTTAAAATGTATTGCAATATTATTTATCTTGATCACTGAGATTTTGGCACCCCTTATAGTGAGTGTCTCATTTGTTGTATCCTAGGCATGGCCCTGCTTTCTCACAGATGGTGACAGGCTTCAACAGTGAGCACCCCAAGAGAGCTGTTTTACCTTTTCTTGAGAGTACCTTTTATGGCTAGCACTGAAAGTCACATCAGAATCCACCCCTTTCTGTTCACTGGAAGTGAATCACTAATGTGAGCCCATATTCAGAGGGAGGGAAATTTGACTCCCTTTGATAGTAGAAATGGCTGAGTTAGCAGATATATTTTAAATCTATTAGACACATATTTGTATCTTCTCCAGTGCTCTTGTACACAGACTAATCTTTCCATTATGTACTAGGGCTGGTAATACAATCCAGGGATGGTGGCTGTCTGTGGGGGGTTCTCCCTGAAGCCTGGCTATAGAGAAGCGACGCTGAAAGAGAAGAAGGTCCGAACCCACCTTGGTGTCACTTTCCTAACTCACAAACCTGTAGCCCCTTTGCTGTTGGCTTGTCAAGTTGAAACTGATGTCTGGCCCTTGGGAGCCTTCATTTTTGACTGTCCTTTCTAGGACAACATAGTTTCTGTTTTTTTCACCAGTAGACACTTATGTGACAATGTCTAAGCTCTTGGAGTCTCTGATCTCCAAACCTGCCCCTTCTATGCAGAGCTTGGCGGTGAAGGGTCAAGCCTCTGCAAGCACATTTCGGCTTTGCCAGCTGCCCCCTGTTAGGGGGCGCTGGAGAAAACTGGGAGCCTGGATAACAGCCAGAGGATTGCTCCTTCCTGTTTGCTTATAGAACTTTGTGGGGGCTTCCTGTTGAAGGGAGCCAACCAGGACTTGTTCACCTCAGCTGAGGCAGTTTATTTCCACAGCTGCTCAGTCCAGTTTGCAGTTCTGCGGAGACTCGAAGAGCCAGCTTCATTGTACTCCTGAGAGACATCAGTACCAGCTGGACGCTTCTCTTCCTCAGGTATGAGTTTCAGCTCCAAGGGTCTCTGTTACAAGTTTTTAAGTTTAGGAATAATTCTACATTTTCCCTTTGTTCCGTTATCTCTAGGGGTGGAAGTGGCTCTCTGAATTTGCTACTTTTGTCATCCCTGAGGAGTTCTCTTTGTATTTCTTGTAACCAAAATCGACAGCTTTAAACCTAATTGCGATTTTTAAAAACTACTAAAATGTATCTGTATGAGCAACGGGTATGTTTTCTGTGGCCCAATTTGGACCTGAGTGCTACCACTCAGGAAGCAAATCCTTGACGATGAGGTGCATAGGTTGGTTTGGGTTTGAATGCAGCGCTGAGTTCCTCACCAAAGGGAAATGGTGAAGCCTTGGCATCCTGAGGAGTCAGATTATCCCCTGTGGTTGAGGGCTGCACTTGTTAGGCAGTCCTGATGACTGAGGACTGGTATGGGGTGCATACTTCTGAGCGCCCTGGAGCACTTACAGAAAGTTTACAAGCTTAGGTTGGGCTTTTTTTTTTTTTTAATTAAAGAATTGATTTACAATGTTAATTTCTGCTGTATAGCAAAGTATTTCAGTTATATGTATATGTTCTTTTTTATATATCTTTTTATTTTTTATATTCTTATTCATTATGATTTGTCACAGGATGGGAATATCTGTTTGGATTCAGACAAAGGTGAAAAACAAAGTTTGTAGTCTCTCTGAGCCTCCCTTGCCTGTGAGAAGCAGTTTGCCTCCCTATGTCCGAGGAAAACTATTAATAGTTTTTTTTTAATATATAGTTGATTTATTAGTTTCAGGTGTACAAAAATAGTTATTAAAATATTTTTATAGATTATACTCCATTTTAAAAAGTTATAAAATATTAGCTATGTTTCATGTGCTGTACACTATATCCTTGTAATCTATTATTTTATGTATAGTAGTTTGTACCTCTTAATTCCCTACCCCTATTATGTCCCTCCCCACTTCCCTCTCCCTACTGGTAACCACTAGTTTGTTTTCTATATCTGTGAGTCTGTTTTGTTATATTCACTGGTTTATTTTTCAGGTTCCACATATAAGTGATAACATACTGTATCTGTCATTGTCTGACTTATTTCACTAATAAGCATAATACCCTCTAGGTCCATCTATGTTGTTGCAAGTGCCAGAATTTCATTACTTTTATGGCTGAGTAATATTTCATTTTATATATATATATATATATATATATTCACACCATATCTTTTTAAAAATCCATTTATCTGTTGATGGACAGGTTACTTCGATATCTTGGCTATTGTAAATATTGCTGTTATGAACATTGGGGTACATGTATCTTTTAAAATTAGGGTTTCTGTTTTTTTTTTTCAGATATAAACTAAGGAGTAAAATTAAGAGATGGTAGTTTTATTTTTAGTTTTTTTTAAAAAAATTATTTTTTTCTGTGCTGGGTGGGTCTTCATTGCTATCTGGCTTTTTTCTCTAGTTGAGGTGAGCAGGGGCTGCTCTCTAGTTGTGGTGCATGGGCTTCTCAGTGTGGTAGCTTCTCTTCCTGCACAGCACGGGCTCTAGGGTCGTGGCCTCAGTAGTTGCAACTTGTGGGCTCCAGAGCACAGGCTCAATATTTGTGGCACACGGCTTAGTTGCTTTGCAGCCTATCGGATCTTCCTGGATCAGGGATTGAAACCATGTCTCCTGCATTGGCAGGCAGATTCATTACCACTGAGCCACCAGGGACGCCCCTATTTTTAGTTTTTTGAGCAAACAACGCCATACTATTTTTCATAGTGGCTGCACCAGTTTACATTCCCCACAATAGCATACAAGGGTTTCTTTTTCTCCACATTCTGATACTTACTACCTATAGACTTTTTGATGGTAGCTATTCAATGAGGTGATATCTTACTGTGGTTTTGCTTTCTATTTCCCTGAATGATTAGCAGTGTTGAGCATCTTTTCAGGTGCCTGTTGACCATCTCTATGTCTTCTCTGCAAAAATGTCTATTAATGTCTTCTGCCCATTTTTTAATCAGATTTTTTTTATATTGAGTTGGATGACCTGTTGATATATTTTGTATATTAAACTCTTATTGGTCATATCATTTGCAAATATTTTCTCCCATTCAGTAGGTTGTGAAAATAGTCTTGCTTGAAAATCCTGTAATAACATCACTTGGGACAATTTTCATTCTCCTCAAGAACACTCAGCTTAGTGCTGTCTTAACCCAATTTTTACCAATAGATTCATCACTAGGATCTTATACACTGGCAAAGAAAGCGTAAACTTCAACTGAAGAAGAAATAGCTTATATATCAAAACAGTTGCAAGGTTTTGCTAATACATATGGGCAAAAGCCTGGGGAATATGTGGGAAAGTGGATTCTTAAGAATGTGAGATGAAGGAAAAACACCTGACTACCTTGGGCCAAATTGACTGGTACGGGTGCACTTATATATTCTGGAGATGGCTCTGTACTTGACTGGTTAACTAAAAACACTCAGTGGTGGCCTACATTTAATGAAGTGGAGATACCAAAGCTTCCCTGGCATTGTGCAGAGGGAATCCAAATACAGGGAGACAGGAGTGTCGAAGTAGACATGTCTCGTATGACCTGCACACCACCCCTCACCTTCCCCAACTACATTCCCTGAGAAGGTCAGCTTAAAATAACAAACATTTCATATATCTCACAGTCCTAAGGGTCAGGAGTGGTGTAGCCCTGGCCCAGGGTCTCTTGCAAGGCTTTAGTCAGGATGTTGGCTCATTCAACATTGAGTCAGGACGTTATCTCAGGCTGAAGGATCTGTTTCCAGAATGGCTCACTCATGGCGCTTGGGCGGGGGGACTCAGTTTCTCCCCACATGAGCCTCTCCGTGGCAGTTTATGTGTCTTCACATCATGGTAGCTGGCTTCCTCCAGAGCAAGTGACCCAAGGGAGGAAGAGTGAGGCAGAAAGGCCATGATATCATGCTGAGCCTCGGAAGTGAAGCTGTATTCTGTGGATCACATAAACCAGCCATGATGCCTGTTGGAGGGGACTGCACAAGGGCAAGAATACCAGAGGCAGGAATCCCTGGGCTCCACCTTGAAAGCTGGCCATCACAGCAACTTCCACCAACTAACTGCCATTTTCCTTCTCTGTAGTCACTCTTGCTTGTTAGGCTTCTGAGGCCCAGGCTCATGGAACCAGTTTCAGGATGGCTTAATAGAGATTTGGTTTATGAATGTTGGGAATATAGTGAAATGATGGGCCAAGAACTATGTGAAGAACTTCCAGTCAAGAGAAATTAATACTATGCATTCTTTCCCAACATTGAAGATTATAGTGGGACAATGGATCTGTTTGGAGACATAGATGACATTTCTTCAGACAGTGATGGGGATAATCAACCACCCATTCAAAGACAGCCTGTTACAGTAAGTACAAATCTCAACTGAGCCCATTGTTCAAAGCTAAGAAAAGTTTCAGAGGCTGATGGGCCTGACTCTTTCATATAGAGAGAGTCTGGAACATCTGATGAATAGGTGACTTTCTTAGTTATGTTGGGAATTTCTGGATATTAAAGGGCAGAGAAGGAATTGCTCAGAATGAATTTGATGCCAAACTTTAGGGGCTAGACTGTGAGGACTCATAATTTGAAAACCTTTGATTCAAAAGCTTTTCTTACTCAAACTTGTGCTGAGAAGTGTGTATTGTTTGACATTTTTCTCTGATTTTAATTAGTATTGAAGGACTGTATAATTTCACACTTGTGTTGCTAAATATCTTATGAAAACTAGGTAGGTCAGCATTTTTTTCTGGTAATGCAGGCTGACAGGTCTTGTTTTGCATGGTGGTTTTTGGGGAGTAGGATAGAGACAGGATGAAATTTTGAGGTGAGGCCGGAGGGGCTGCTGACTACTTTATCTCTGAAGTGGTTTCTAAATTTACGTCCTGTCAAACCTGCCTCTGCCTGTTGTAGAAGGACAGCTAGAGCATTTCTAATGTCATTTCAAGCTCTCACATTCTGATTCCTTTCTTAGGATGCATGTGGAGTGCCTCAGAACCAGCGGGAAGAAGAGCTGATTTCTGAAACCAAAATAGAAGTAGAAATTCCTAATATCAACTCTGATTTAGGAAATGAATTGTACTTTGTTAAACTACCCAAATATCTCAGCATAGAATCCAAGTAAGAGGACTGACTTAAAGTTTTATTTTTCCTGCAAGATATTGAGTAAAAGTATGTGGGCTGTAAATATTCTTGTTGTGGTAATGTGTTGGCTAATCACAAAGGTGGGAGATTTTTCATGTAACTCTGAAAAAATAAACTTAGGGTGTGCTATGGTAGAAAATGATGAATTTACTGGTATGAGAAAGCTTTACTGCTAATAATTCTTTTAGCATTTTGGCACTTTCTTACCAATGAGCAGATATCATAGCTGATGAACAATGTTTTTTATTTTCATAAAGCTGAAAAATTGGAAAACGAAGGTGAGAAAGTTTGCTGGAAAAATCACAAAAGTTCAATGCAAAAGCCATTGTGAATCTAGAAAAGATGACGATATTTGAAAACAAAATAGTGTGGATGGGTATCATGATAGTTTACAAGTGCAAGCTCTTGTGCAATTAAACATGACACCTTTCTTAAAAAAAAATGAAAAGGTAGATCATGTGTCACCTATACTTTAAAGGACTATTTCCCAAACAAGAAAACAATTTAAAAATTTTGAATTATTTAGTCACATTTGGATTTTTTTCAGGCAAAAAATAGTTTAAATAAAATTTTAAGAAAAAAGTAATTTGCATACTTCTTTGAAGTTTTACTTGAAGTTATTTGTCTACTGTGATTTTTTTTAACATTGGTACATGTTATAAAGACTATTATTTTATAGTATTATATTCATACTAAAGATGGCTAATACAACATTAAAAAACAATTTTTAGGCCTTTTGATCCTCAGTATTATGAAGATGAATTTGAAAATAAGAAAATGCTTGATGAAGAAGAGAGAACCAGGTTAAAATTAAAGGTACCATTCCACACTTTATTACTGTTTTTTTTTAAAGATTTTTATAAAGTAAAACACAGAAATAACAGTTTGAAATGAACTTACAAAATGATCTTTATGTTTACTTTTTAATCAATAACTGTTTAGAATGAGGAATTAAATGTCTTTTCAGAATATTTTTAGGAGAGAAGGTACATATCCTTTTTTAAAAATTGTTGTAGAATTATCCTTTTTCTAACCTTTCTTTGGCAGTTGTAATTTTTTGACAGCAGTCAAGATAAGAATTCTTGACAATTGTTAGCTTGGGTTTCTCTGGTGGCTCAGACAGTAAAGTGTCTGCCTGCAGTGCAGGAGACCAGGGTTCAATCCCTGGGTTGGGAAGATCCCCTGGGAAGGGAATGGCAACCCACTCCAGTACTCTTGCCTGGAAAATTCCATGGACTGAAGAGCCTGGTAGGCTAGACAGTCCATGGCGTCGCAGAGTCGGACATGACTGAGCAACTTCACTTTCACTTTCACTTCCTTCAGGATAAATAATAATATAGCTAGATATACAGAACTGCCCCTCCATATTTTATCATGGATAGGTCTGAGCTGCTTCTCATAGTAAAAATCTCTCAAACTCTTTATGGAAATTCAGCTTATGCACAGAGAAGAGGTCTTGTCATTAGGGGGTTCCCCTTGAGAGGACCTGGAAAGCAAAACCCTACCATTGCTCTCATAGGAGTGGCACTGTCTTTAACCGGGACTATTATTTTATAGTATTATATTCATACTAAAGATGGCTAATACAACATTAAAAAACAATTTTTAGGCCTTTTGATCCTCAGTATTATGAAGATGAATTTGAAAATAAGAAAATGCTTGATGAAGAAGAGAGAACCAGGTTAAAATTAAAGGTACCATTCCACACTTTATTACTGTTTTTTTTTTTAAAGCTTTTTATAAAGTAAAACACAGAAATAACAGTTTGAAATGAACTTACAAAATGATCTTTATGTTTACTTTTTAATCAATAACTGTTTAGAATGAGGAATTAAATGTCTTTTCAGAATATTTTTAGGAGAGAAGGTACATATCCTTTTTTAAAAATTGTTGTAGAATTATCCTTTTTCTAACCTTTCTTTGGCAGTTGTAATTTTTTGACAGCAGTCAAGATAAGAATTCTTGACAATTGTTAGCTTGGGTTTCTCTGGTGGCTCAGACAGTAAAGTGTCTGCCTGCAGTGCAGGAGACCAGGGTTCAATCCCTGGGTTGGGAAGATCCCCTGGGAAGGGAATGGCAACCCACTCCAGTACTCTTGCCTGGAAAATTCCATGGACTGAAGAGCCTGGTAGGCTAGACAGTCCATGGCATCGCAAAGAGTCGGACATGACTGAGCAACTTCACTTTCACTTTCACTTCCTTCAGGATAAATAATAATATAGCTAGATATACAGAACTGCCCCTCCATATTTTATCATGGATAGGTCTGAGCTGCTTCTCATAGTAAAAATATCTCAAACTCTTTATGGAAATTCAGCTTATGCACAGAGAAGAGGTCTTGTCATTAGGGGGTTCCCCTTGAGAGGACCTGGAAAGCAAAACCCTACCATTGCTCTCATAGGAGTGGCACTGTCTTTAACCGGGGGTGGAATGAGCGTCTCCCAGAGGCCACAGTGGTAGCAGTGGCAGGAACCATTCTTTTCCTACTTTTGTAATTTGGAGTTCCTCACCGTATGGGTAGAGTAAAGCAAAAGTCTTAGGTTTTAATTTATTGCTTATTACTTAATTACTTTTTTTTTTAATTAACGCTCAGAGTTTTCTTACCTACTGGGCCCTTCTTTAGTCCTTCTTTCACTGGGTTCATAATCCTTCAAGTGGGGCTGCAATAGAAATCTCAGTTATAACCTCCTACCTCATATGGGCCCTAAGGGTTTGCTTCCGCTGCCGTATGGTGGAACTCAGGAAAGATTAAAACAGAATGACTGGTGAGTTTAACCAGTGTCTCTAGGTATCTGTAGTAGGAGGCTTTCCATGTTGCCTAATCATCTATTTTTCAGTGAGCTTATTTTCTCACCACCTATGAATTCTTGGCATGTGATTATAAATCACTTGAGAAAAAAGAACATGCAGTCAGTAACACTGGTTTTGTATGTGAAAGTGTTAGTCGATCAATCATGTCTCTTTGCGATCCCATGGACTGTAACCCACCAGGCTCCTCTGTCCATGGGATTCTCCAGGCAAGAATACTGGAGTGGGTCGCCACACTCTCCTCCAGGGCATCTTCCCGACCCAAGGATCAAATCTAGGGTTCTTGCACTACAGGCAGATTCTTTACCAACTGGTTTTGTATGCCTTTGTGTTTTAAATCAGATAGAAAATACTATACGATGGAGGATACGCCAGGATAAAGATGGAAATAAAATTAAAGAAAGCAATGCTCGGATAGTCAAGTGGTCGGATGGAAGGTGAGCACAGGCCTGAGGAGTATGGAAACACCCAGAGGGAGGCCCGGGATAAATGAAGTTTTCTGTGTAGGGCCATATTTGGGGATCTTTTTTTTATTACAGAATTAACAAAATTAGGCCTCTTAGACCACATATTAAAAACCGGAGACACTACTTTGCCAACAAAAGTCCATCTAGTCAAAGCTTTGGTTTTTCCAGTAGTCATGTATGGATGTGAGAGTTGGACTATAAAGAAAGCTGAATGCCCAAGAATTGATGCTTTTGAACTGTGGTATTGGAGAAGACTCTTGAGAGTCCCCTGGAAAGCAAGGAGATCCAACCTGTCCATCCTAAAGGAAATCAGTCCTGAATATTTACTGGAAGGACTGATGCTGAAGCAGGGTTGAGATCACAGTGCTGTGCTGGGCGACTCTAGACATAGACCTGAGATGTGATCAAATTCACAGTATCCACCTTATTGAGATAATGTCAGCACCCATATGTGACCATTAGACTTTATAGATTGGTATGTTTGAAAAAACGATTTCTATTTTACTAATGAGGTATTAGAGATTGGGAAATGATAATTAGATTTCAAGTTGAAAAGAAGATGGATTTTACCACCTTTTACTTTGAAAGGAGGTAGGTTAGTTGTTTCTAGTATCTTTTGTCTGTCTTAAATCTTCAGTATGGGGACAGGATCCTGCAGTTCCACAGCATTTTAAAAATTGCTAGCAGGGTAGAGGAGACTTCCCTGGCAGCTCATGATAAAGAACCTGCCTGGCAATGCAGGAGATGCAGGTTTGATCCCTGAGTTGGGAAGATCCCCTGTAGAAGGAAATAGCAACACACTCCAGTATTCTTGCCTGGAGAATCCCATGGACAAAGGAGACTGGCGGGCTACAGCCCGTGGGGTTGCAAAGAGTCGAACACAACTTAGCGATTAAACAACATGACAGAATGGAAGCTATAGGATTTGTTAACTATCCATCCTAATAACTGAACTATTTCTGTTTCCAGCCTGTCCCTACATTTAGGCAACGAGGTGTTTGATGTCTACAAGGCCCCGATGCAGGCCAATCACAACCACCTGTTCATCAGGGAAGACACTGGTCTGCAGGGACAAGCTGTCTTTAAATCCAAACTCACCTTCAGGTAACTATTCATAGTGACCTATTGCTGCTTGGCAGTTTGAGCAACAGGTTAGAGAGGCTGGATGTGCAAAGAGCCTAACTGATGTGATGTTGAGGTGCAGCTCCCCAAGGCCCATGGTCTGGTTCCCATGCCATTTTTCACCTTTGCAACAAGTTCCTGTCTCTCAGGGAGCCAGTTCACGGTCTGGAAACCAACACGAGACTGCTGTCTAAACCAGAAGACCAGTTATTAATTCACATTGATCAGCACACCTGGTAAGAGGCCTAAACTGTCTGTGCCACTCTGCTGGTCAGCGTGACCCTTCTCTTCAGGGACGTTTACCTGGGAAGCCGGCTGATTGCGAGCATGCTCTTGGTTTGCGCATGTGCCAGAGGAAAGGGCTGCGGGTGCTGATGTTACTGTCTGCCACTGTTTGCTGTTGGTGTGATTGCCTGCAAATGTTCTCAGTAAACAATGAGTCATTTTTGTCTGTTTCCCACAGACCTCATGCTACAGACTATGCCACACATAAAAAGGTGACCCTGCCAGTTGCTAGTAGATGCTCAAGGATGCAGACGATTAGAATCTTACCAGTGGCGGGTCCTGATCCTGAATGCCAGCGTGAAGAGTTGATTAAGGTATGTTGGCTGAGCTTTATCCTAGGATTGTTTGGGGCAATAAGAGCTGTGCTTTTTAGAATATTAAATCATCGTTTCTTATTGTCACAGTCATTTTATTTCTTGTAGTTATCAGGGAGCCAGCTTAAGCTTCCAAGTGTGTGGTTAACCATAGGAATGGTCATAGTCAATGGGCCAGTGGTGAGACACAGCAATCCAGATCCTCAGGTGTTCTCTCTCCAATCTATGAGCTCTCAGAGGGAAACTGACAGTTTTTTGTTTTTTTTTTAACAAATGTAACCTTTGACACATATCATTAGACTGTGTTAGCCAGAGGGGAGGTGATGTTGGAAGGTCAGAAGGACATTCCTGACTCCGTCAACACTGGCCCCACCTGTGGAACCCAACATGTGGAAGTCAGGTGGGTGGAAGGGAACAAAGGCTCTACTTTGGGACTCAGGGACCCTCCCCACCAGCACCCCCTTCATCCTGCTAGCAGCAGCTGTGGGGAGTGCCCTGGGTTGAGGGCCCAGGCAGGAATATCTGGGCGCCATGGTAGTTTGGTGCAGCCTGGGCAAGTCAGGTGTGTGTCTCAGGGTGAAGAGAACCTGCCTCCCTCAGGCATCCGCTGGGCATGGATGAGGTTCCTCAGGCTGGTCGTGCCGTCTGGACTGTTCCTGGCAGCAGAGGGGACGCTGCAGCTCCCAAGGCCGTGTCCGTGCCAGTTGTGATGGGGCAGTTGGTCTGAGGGAGCCTTCTGCCTCTTCACCCTGTGTTGTCTTCACACCTTAGAATTGAACATGATGATACCACGTGTGGTAACAGATGTGAAATGGAGAGAACTCACTGTGAGGACATAGGAACTGGTGTTATGCCGGGCAAGGCATTTTCATGTTCTTTAGTTTCAAGTGGGCACTAAGTGCATTCATCTTTTTTTGTCTTTACAGAAAGAAGCAGCACGTTTGAGGGCTTCTGCTCACCAGGAGACAATCTGTCTGCAGAACCAGGCGAGGCCAAGTGCCCCCTACCAGGGCCCCACCAGTGACGAGGAGGGTGAAGCCGTCAAAAACCACAACCAAGGGGAACGCGGAGGTGAATCTGGTAAGGAGGCCGTGCTTCCATCACCTCAGGGCCATGGGACCACTTATGCTCCGGTAACCACTGAGTGTCTTTCCTGCTGTTATTCACTGAGGACAACAATACAAAGGCCTTTTCTTCTGTTTTTGTTAGGACCACTTTCTCACATGAAAAGTTGGCTGGGAAAATAAGGCACCCCCATAATTAAGAAAATCAACTAAATAATTTATGTCCTCATGGTAAAAAAATGTATAATAGGCAGTTTGCCTGATTGTATAATTAAGGACCCAGTGTTAAACTTTGTAGTTTTAAAAAATGTGTGTGTGCAGCCCTTCAGGTATTTAAAAGTGATCAGTCTCTCTGAGGGAAAAAAACCTCTCCAGTATAAGTCATTTAAGCATGTTTGACAGCTGTACGTATCTCTTCATGAAAACTTAAAAAAATGGTTGGCATCTCAACAAAGGGAAATATACAGTGGGAAGTAACAACATTCAACAGTAAAAAAAAAATTTTTTTCAGGAATAAATGGGTCTTCATCTTTGAAGGTCAGTCCCATATCTAAAGTCCCCAAATTTGCTTTCAGAGGGAGGGGCCAGAATATATTCTCCAGAGAGTGATGAGGGACCAGATGAAGATGGGGCTCAGAGATCACTGACAGCAAAGAAACTCACCACTGATGAGGTAAAACCAAGTTTATTCAATCTGAAGGGGTTTCCCTACAGCCACAAGCCTACTCCCAGAATAAGGAGCTCACAGCCCAGGAGCACAGACAGGTGTCTACACATCTCCCTACAACTCAGTGAGATGCATGCAGTAACAAGCCTAGGCGTGGCCCAGAGGAAAGCCTGACACCTGTGTGCAGTGGGAGGCAGTCCAGAACAGTCATCTTCTCGTTGGGTGTTGAAGGAAGTGTTAGGGTGGGTGTGCCAGTGGACAGAAAGGCTTGTGAGAAAAGACATGTGGCTGAGACACCAGGGCCCAACTAGAGAACTAGAAGTAGTTCAGTGAAATAGATCAAGGGGCCTCTCACGATCACCATGAGCATAATAATAGTGCAGGGTTATTTCATTTCTATGTTATTAAAATTATCTATTTCCTTTTCCACTTAAAGATCACAAGAAATTTTAAGTCTTAATTACACAAGTGAATCACTCTGTTGTTGCCATTGTACCATATTAATTTATCCAGTGTTTTCTGAACCCATAACACACTCCACTATGGGTCTTGAGTTATAGGTCAGAGAAAACATCTCAGTAACAGAAATGGCTCTTACTATGTAAGAGAAGCACTCATTTTTCATGCGAAAAAACCTATTTAAAACTTGGAAACCATACTGAAAAAAGCACATAAAATACAAGCAGTCCTTTAAAAAAACCAACAGGCTTTAAAATAGTGAATTTTAGATAGAGAAAGTGAAGTGCTGAGGAAGCTGAGGAACATATTTCAAGTAGTAATGAGGGAAATCCACACCAAAATAGTGACGTGTCCTGTGGCCCTGACAGCTGGAAGTCGGAGCTCCCCTTGCCTGACCTGTAGAGACAGGGTCTGTGGACAAGGTCATCGCTGGGGGGTTGAGTTCTAACTTGAAGGGCTGGCTCCCCCATCAGCTCAGAACTACTTTAGACAGAATTCCCAGAAACATTCAGTATTGAATTTTACACCTTCTCTCTTGTTGTCTGTTCAGATGAACCCTCCAGAAAGAGGAAAGCAGGGGGTGAAGAGGAAGAGGATGACTGAAGCATAAAACGTGTACTCACTATAAATATGGTTTTCAACTGCTGGCTTTAAAACAATGATAAAATGACTTGGAATTGAAGTGAGGAACTGAGTTCCTTTTGCATAATCCTAATTGTGGTTTTAAAATGTTTGGAAGCAAATCTGTGACTTTAGAAAACCCATTGTTCCCAGGTGAGACCATTTTGGTAACAGTTTGCGCTGTGTCTTGGGTTTTTTTTTGTCAGAGCAGGCACAGCACAAGAGAGCTCTTGGAGACTCAATGCTTTGTTACGTGCTGTATGGGCCTTACCAGTTCCAATCCTCAGAACAAGTCAAGGGCAGCTGCTGTTCTCATATTACAGATGTAGAAGCTAAGTTAGAACTTAAGACTTCTGTCCAAAGCCTTTTCTTCTCAAGTTAAAAAAAAAAAAAAGCATTTTTGAGACAAGGATCAGGAACTTATTTGCAACAGCCATCACACTGCTGAGCAGGTGTATTTACTGACCTTGGGAGAAAGACATCCCAAATACCGGTGAGAAATGGTCACCAGAAGTTTAGAGAAAACAAGAGTAGTGGGAAACAAAATACTAGATTTGACTTCTAGCTTTTTGACTAGTGCAGTAGCTGGAACATAATAAGTTCATAAAGTTTTTTTTGTTGACTATACAAACCAATGATGTTACCTTGGGCAAGTTAACTTCTCTGAAGTCAGTTTGCTCAACTTGCTGGGGTTTGGACTTGACCACTGTGAATCTTTCATGATTTAATGTTTATATTCCTCTACTTCTGAGAAGTGAAAAATTAGATATGTTCGGTTTTTTTTAAACAGTCTTATTGTTAAATAGAAAAGGTCAAAGAAAAATGGCCCACTTACCATGCAGAAAACCTGGGTATACATTATAATTCCCTCCCTTTTATATATTTAAAGTGTAATTTCATAGCTGTGCAGTAAACACAGCCATAATTAGCACCAGCTCCAGAAAGGCCATTTAGAGACTCATCCAAAATGCTGATGAGAGGTACTACCACAGTTCAGGCATAAGGCTGACTATTCTTTACAATTTTATTGAAGTATAGTTGATTTACAGTGTTGTGCTAATTTCTTTGGTACAATAAAGTGACTCAATTATACACACATAAGCATGTTTTTTCATATTTTTTCATACTTTTCCATTATAGTTTGTCACAGGATATAGTCCCCTGTGTTACATACAGTAGGACCTTGTTGTTCATCCATCCTGTATATAATAGGATGTCTGTTTTTGTGCCAGTACCACGCTGTTTTGGTCACAATGGCCTTACTGTAGTATTATCTCAAGTCTAGGAGGGTTATGCCTCCTGCTTTGTTCTTTTCCCTCAAGACTGCTTTGACAATTCTGGGTCTTTTATAGTTCTATATAAATATTAGGATTATTTGTCTTAGTTCTGTGAAAAATGAAATATGTTAATTTGATGGGGATCACATTAGATCTATAGGTTAGGTTGACTATTCTTTGTAGAGGTGGCCTTGAGTCTCCGCTACTTTAGCAACAGGACTGGGGCTAAAGCTGGGCTGAGACTAGAGGCCACCAACCCTTGCAGAGTTGCTGGAAAGCTTAATATTTGGTACCTGAAGGACTGAGGTGCCACTGGCTGAGCAAGAAGGCACTCTCCCCACGGCCACAGCTCCTGTCTCCACGGCCACTCAGAGGAGGAGCTGAAGTTACCTGACAACTGAAGCACCCAAGCCTCTGAGTCACCAAAGGGGACAGGCATCAAGGCTTCCCACATGTGAACGTAAGCCCAACAGCCATTCTTGGAAAGCCAGCCAATACTAAAGATTCAAGAGAAATTTCTTTATTCTTTAAGTTTCAAAGTTGAATTATTTGATATTCATTTTCCTCAACCCATTACACGTTTCACTGATTTTCTCTTTTGGTTGGTGGATTTAGGTGACTGATAAGCGATATCTTTAGTTTACCTTAGAAATAATCTCTAGTAACAGGATTGGCTCCCCTCAGGCCCAGAACACACTGTATCATAGGTCCCTGTTTCTATTTGCCAACTCAGTTTAAAAAAAAAAAAAAATCAATTTGACTTTATAGACAGACCAGACTGAGTACTGATGGGGATGAGACTGAACCATATGAACTTACTACTTTATGGGTATAAATGGTCAAGTTTTGACAGTTTCAGAATAACTCAGGGAAATTAATAAATTTGTTCTTAAAAGGTATGTATGCAGTGAACTTTAGAGCACAGGAATTAAAGGGATTTTCCAAACAGTCTAAGTCTACAGTATATTTGATAGACTTTATTGAAATTATTTGTTCCAATATGAAATGGTAAATTCTAAATGCCTGCAGTCCATATTCTTCAAAAGAAGAGTCACTGTGCTATTATGAACCAGTATTAATATGAATATTTTCTAATAGTTTATTAAAATGGTAAAAGCATTTACAGCATTTTTATATTTTAGCATTAAAAAATGTATTTAAATGCCCAATTTCATGTGACAAAGAATGCACTGTTACAAAAGTAATTTTCAAGCTTTTAAACATACCTGAAACCAAATACTCATTGGAAAAGACCTTTATGCTGGGAGGGATTGAGGGCAGGAGGAGAAGGGGACAACAGAGGATGAGATGGCTGGATGGCATCACCAACTCGATGGACATGAGTTTGAGTAAACTCCGGGAGTTGGTGATGGACAGGGAGGCCTGGCGTGCCTGTCCTCCTTCATGGGGTCGCAAAGAGTTGGACACGACTGAGCGACTGAACTGAACTGAAACCAAATATAATTCATCCAAAAGACTAAAAAAAAAAGTGGGCACTTTCTCAAAATTACAATGGTTTTCATATACTCTGCTGACTATACAAACATACATGTGTGCATGCACATGTATGCATGCGCAATTTTCTTTACAATTTATCTTTCTTACAATTCTTAAACAGACAAATCTAAAAAGTTTAAACAGCTGAATCAAATTGTTTTCCTTTCGACTTAAGGTGAAATTTAAACTCCTAAAAATCCGCTTTACATACCCACCAACAAGCCCCCAGAATTTGTTTTTATTTATTTTTTTCAGAATTTGTTTTTAAACCTTACTGTCTGATGAACTACAATATCTGACAAAAAAATTTTAGACCTATTAATTGCTTTGCAGCATTGAAAACATACTGATAGTCTGTAGAAAAGGAAGTTAAGCCTCACTCACATATGGCTACTCTAACAGAGTTTGATTATCTTAAAAGTGTACGAACTTGAACAATAGTGCTAAATACAAAACATGGCTGGTGGTGTTTCACAGTGTTACAATCTATTATCTAGCTACCAGAGCAGATAGCCTAAGTAAAAGTCCTTATATATCAGTGAAGGCTGTCTAAAATGCTTGGTAAGGGTTTAAAGATTTGGCTTCTCTGATCAGGCTGCATGTTAGAGTTTAGCATTAACAAACCTGTAAATGTTTTATTATAAAAAATTTCCAATGTGTTCAGTTTTTGTAGGAAGAGACATAGAGAACTAAATTATAACACACAAGAAATATGACATAAGAAAGAATGACCAAATTAAAATGACATAATATAAATTCTTTGCTGATTGTAAATATAACTGTCTCAATTTAAGACTTGGTGAAGAGTTCCTTTGAGTGAGAAGTAGCTAGAAACATGAATGTTCAGTGAGAAGTGATGGAAAAGAGGGTTCTGTGGATGTTTAGACTGAAGAACTCACACCCCTTGATAGGAGTTGCTCTGACACATCCAATGTGTTTGGGTCTTATGGGTGCTGTGTCTTCAGTTAGTACTATTTGAAAGTGGAGTGGCCTTGAAGGCATTATGTTAAGTGAAACAAATCTGAAAGGAAGACAAATACTATATGATCTCATGTATTAGAACCTAAAAAAACTAAATCCATTGATAGAGCGAACAGACTGGGGGTTGCCAGAGTTGGGGTGTGGAGAGTGGGTGAAATGGACGAAGGTGGTTAAATGGTATAAACTTCCAGTTATAAGAAAAATAAGTCCTAGGAATGTAATGTCAGCATAGTGATGACAGTTAATAATACTGTATTATTACATATTTGAAAGTTACTTAAAAGTTCTCATCACAAGAAAAAACATTTTAAAAAACTATGTGAAGTGACAGGTGTTAACTAAATTTACTGTAGTAACCATTTTGTAAGTATGTGCATATATCAAATCATTATGTTTTGTACCTTAAAATATGTTATATGTTAAGTATCTCAATAAAACTAGAAAAAAATTTTTAAGTGACGTGACATTGTAATGGAGGAAAATGAGACAGTACTGAACTTACAGAGATGGAAACTGCTAAGATTCGAGAAAAACAATGATCCTTTTTTCTGCCAGGAGATAATAGTGGTTCCTGATTTTATAAGGAAAAAGTTAGAAGTTCTAGGACCACAGAGCCAAAATTTTACAATTTTATGAAATCTCATGAATTGTTTAATCTTATTTTAATGGCAGCAAGGGTTAAAATAAAGTACAATAGGACATAACTTTCCATCAAAACATGTTTTCTTTTATAATTTTCTTTATACCATGGATTCCGCTTTTTAAATGAAAAAACATCAGATACTGTCAATAGAAAAAAGAATTTACAAAGCTCTATACCTGTTAACTTTTTGAGGGAGTACCTACTTCACAAAGCAAGTATGTGGGTTGTTTCATTCAAATCATGAGAATCTGCAATTTAACAACCAAGGTAATTCTCCTTAGAATTTCTAACAATCTAATTTTTTTAAACACAAAATGTTTATTTGGTCTTTTAAATGACAGGCACCCTTAGAGAATGTATTCCACCTATTCTTTAGACTTCTACTTTTAGCTACAAGTATATAGCACCAAAATCTATTTTAATAATATCATTAATATTGATTTTAATACATAATAATTTCATGTAGACAAACTGGAAAAATTGGAACTTCTGACAAATATGAATATAAAATTTTAAAAAATGTGAAATTAAAAGGTTTTTAAAAAACAGCAATTTAAAAACGCAAAGAAGTCTTTGCTTGAATAACAAGCTAAGTCTATACTGGTTACATTATAAAAACTTAAATGTCTTAGAAGATCTTTGGTTTAAAAATCAAGACTACTTCACAATTCTATTATAAAATTTTAGCACAATATAGAAATATTGAAAGTTACTAAAAGGATAAGAGGTGCTAGATTTTTTTTTTTTTGAGAGGTGCCAGATTTTTAAAGATCAAAGTAAACATCCGTTTTCTCCCTTGTGTTACAATTTGTGAAAGATTTTCTGTATTCGGATAGATGAATGTTCACCTTTAGTTATTTATTAACAAATCTTTTCTTCCATTATATATGTTGTAGCTCAGAACTGGAATGGTACAAGCAAAACACTCAACTTCTTCATACTTTGATAAATAATAACTGAAAAGATATTACCCATATGTATAATACAGAATTGTGGGGCCCTACCTATATTTAAAAAAAAAAAAGACTTTTGGGAAGACAGGGTAACATACTTATCAATTTATTGAGTTACAGGGCAGGGCAAAAAAGGAAGCCTTGCTTAAAAGTGTACTGGCAGCTCTGTACTCCTGCTCCAGGCCAACTCCCTGCTCTGTTGGAACTGTGCAGTCTCTAAAAATCAAGTACATTCCCAAAGTCATTTATGAAAAAGGAGAGGGAAAGAGCCAGTGAGAGTGAGCTTGACTTGCTAACTTGGGGCGGGGGGGGAATCTCCAGCACCCTATAACCAAAAGGGAATAGTGGAACAGTGCAAAGTCAATCTTTGGCCCCTTTCAAACACTGGATGCTGATTCCAAAGAAACTCACACCCAGTCCTTATGAGGAAAGCTTTCACCTTTCAAGAAGGCTTATTTCTATAGCATACAGGGAGCCATCTAACTCGAGACAAACTGTCTAGCCCAAGACAAAGGAGCAGACTTTTATAATTTGGTTTCAAGAAGTTTAAAAAAAAAAAAATTAAGAACGCATCTCCCCCCTATTCTGGAAAGAGATTCCTCCCTTTAGAAAAATCTCCCTGTAAGTGACACAGCCAGGCCTGAATTGTTCACAATCTGAACAACTGTGCCCTGTCGTCTGTAGCTGTATAGCCTCTGCCATCTCCTGCTCCCAGGACCGCCCTGGAACCTGGCATGAATACAGGTCCACATTGACTATCACACTACTGGACCTGGAGTGGCCTGCCTGCCACACCTCACTGTTCAACCACTCACTTAAATACTTTGAGTGATAGGAAGACATCTTGTTATGAGAAACTACTTTTATACAGTATGGACCAAAAAGTTCAAGATGAAAGGAAACAGTTAATAAAAATTAGATTTATCAAGAATAGTCATTTTCCTTATTGGTTGGAAAATCTGTAGTAAGGGGTGATTGTATACCATCCAGACAACTCTGCACTGCATATAGGAACATCTTACTATCCTGTGTAAACTCTTAATGTATATGCAGGTCAGCTTCTAATTTACTTCAGAGTAACCATCAATTTAAAGGACCGTTCTGTATGCTCCTAAGACTTAATCTCCACCATTTAATAAGTCTGATTTCATGTGTTTAACAACTGCTCTTTTTTTCCTTTTACCCTAAATAACAGAGATGCCCTGTCGTCTGTAGCTGTATAGCCTCTGCCATCTCCTGCTCCCAGGACCGCCCTGGAACCTGGCATGAATACAGGTCCACATTGACTATCACACTACTGGACCTGGAGTGGCCTGCCTGCCACACCTCACTGTTCAACCACTCACTTAAATACTTTGAGTGATAGGAAGACATCTTGTTATGAGAAACTACTTTTATACAGTATGGACCAAAAAGTTCAAGATGAAAGGAAACAGTTAATAAAAATTAGATTTATCAAGAATAGTCATTTTCCTTATTGGTTGGAAAATCTGTAGTAAGGGGTGATTGTATACCATCCAGACAACTCTGCACTGCATATAGGAACATCTTACTATCCTGTGTAAACTCTTAATGTATACGCAGGTCAGCTTCTAATTTACTTCAGAGTAACCATCAATTTAAAGGACCGTTCTGTATGCTCCTAAGACTTAATCTCCACCATTTAATAAGTCTGATTTCATGTGTTTAACAACTGCTCTTTTTTTCCTTTTACCCTAAATAACAGAGTGAGCTGTATGCCTTTTACAGGGAAGAAAATAGCTTTCCTACTCAGATTTTTTTTTTACTGTGAACTTTCACAAAAATTTAATAATGCCCACATTATTAAAATGAAAGCCTGTAATGAATTTAGACATAACTACTTTTTATTTTTTGACATAACTACTTTTTAAACAAAGTGTGTAACCTAGCCAAGCTGATGACTTTGTTTAAAAAGACTGTAGGTGCTGAGACACCCCAGACAGGTGCAGTGTGCGGGAAGCACTGGAGACCGCTTCCTCTCGCCTAGAGACCTGCTTTGACTCTTAAGACAGATGACCAAGTTTTAAGTAATCTGTTTTAAGATGTTGGCATTTTGCTTTTTTCAAGAAAGAAGTGTGTGTGTTCTAGAAAACATGGAAAAGTCTCCATGCCATGGAATGAGGAAAGCTTTGAAGTGCCTTGTACCTAAGAAGTACGACAGCAGTTCTGACATCAGCAATGTCCCTTTTTGACTTAAAAAATATTGGTCCTTAAAATGTTCATATTATTCTACATAAATGACTTCCTAAACTTTTTTACAACTGTATTTTTTTTAACCCAACTCATCACAAAACATTTAATTAAGCTAAATTAAAATCAATTTTAGCAGAAATAATGCTTTAGTATACAAAATATCACCTACTATTGATTTTACAGTTTGAAACTGGTAACAACCTTAAACTAGAAAAAAAGATACATGTAATTAAAAAAAGAAAAAAAAAAAAGATTTCCAGTCTTTTCCCTTCTACCCAGGAAAATTTTACATCTGATATGACAAGAACCCTCGGTGATCTTTCAATGTCTTCCAAATATGACAGGTTTGCAGACTTATTGGTGGTCTCCTTCAACCCGTCTCTTGCGAACTATGAGAAAATAAAGAATGTTAGAAATCCCTGTTAGTTTGTACAATGTTGATTTGCTTGTGACAAACAAGTTTCTGTGTAATCCAGTTAGAGTTATAAAAAAATGGATTGTCCATCTGCAGTTCACACAGCCATTAAAATAAAAAACTCGTATCCTTTATTATGTCCACTTACCTGCTGAGAACTGAGGAGCTAAGCTCCCCTCTGCTTATACAACAGCGACATTAGAAATCTACACTAGAATGGTCAGCAGTCACCTTCAACTCACTGTGCCTGTCTCATCCGTGTATTAAAAAATTTTATACCTTCATTAAAAATGGTAACTTACCATGTTAAATTTTGAAATAACACACAGGCAGCTGGGATTAGAAAGTATTAAAGGTAATTTGCATGCCCTTCTGGTTATTTCCTTAGTTTGTGAAAGAACATACCAAAAATACTTTTGGAAGTTTCAAAGGTTAAGTGACTTGCTACTACTGCTCTCCAAATTTTCCTTCTCTTATCTCCTACAAAATGAGCCAGTTTGGGGTTCTGAGAATACAACAAATGCAAAGTAATGTAGATCTTCGACCCTAGTAATACGGTGATGTCACCTCTGGCTACCATAAACTCGGGAGGTCAAAGAGGTTGACCCACAGTTAGCAGAGTAAACAAAGGTGCATGTCTGAGGGTGCCCAGCCTATGCACGGGCTGGAGACCCTCAGCTGCGAGGCCGTGCTCGTTGGCAGCAGGACGAGGTCTTCAGTCAGGATCTTGCTACCTTCTCTCTCACCTGTCAGCCACCAGAGAACATTTACTGAGAGCCTGCAGCTCAGGGCTCCTCAGCATCGGGCCAGCTCCTATTGCTGACCATCGAGTCAGCAACAGAGTGGGAACCTGCTGCTTTTTGTAGTGTGCTCTTTGGCAAGTAAGGCAACCTCTCTGAGCCTCAACTCATCCTCTGTAACAGGAGAATAGTGACACCTGAACCTCATGGCTGTGCAATTCAAGGCTGCTTGAAAGTGAAATCGCTCAGTCATGTCCAACTCTGCGACCCCATGGACTGTATTGTAGCCTACCAGGCTTCTCCATCCATGGGATTTTCCAGGCAAGAGTACCGGAGTGGGTTGCCATTTCCTTCTCTAGGGGATCTTCCTGACCCAGGGATCGAACCCGGGTCTCCCGCATGGCAGGCAGATGCTTTATCCTCTGAGCCACCAGGGAAGCCCCAAGGCTGCTTAGTATTGTGTTAATATAGGAAGCATTCAGCCTACAGCCTACAGCCTACCAGGCTCCTCCGTCCATGGTATTTTCCAGGCAAGGGTACTGGAGTAGGTTGCCATTGAGGCCAGTCATCTTTTCAGGGTGAGGAAAGCCAATTTAGCCTTTATAAAGTTAGAGGATCTGCATGTGCACATAATTGGTTTTGATACTCTTACCAGTAAGTTCCTCTGTTTAAGTTACATGGCTGGTCTGTTAATTTCTATACTCTCTTCTGTGGAAGCAAGCAGCAAGGCACCTGCCTTTGTTCAACCTGAACTGGCTGTTTTAACAGAGGAATGAAAAGCCAAAGGTGCACAGCCCTCCTGGCCAGGCTACGGGTCTTGCTCTCATGTTGTTCTGACTGCTGGCTTCTGTTCACTGGCCTTTAAGAGATGATACTGGACAATCAAGCGATGTGCATAAAAGCCTGTCCAGCTATTGGCTGGCCGCTGGCTAGAAAATAAAAACCAGGAGGGCTGCAGTTTCAGGTCCCCATGAACATTTATATACATAATTTAACTATGTGCACCTCAACTCTAATTTTAGCCCATGTTAACGAAGAACAAGTTTACTGAAATGTTAGGGGAAGAAATCAAATGGAGAACTGAGTCTGCAAATACAAACTTAACTGATATATATAGATATCTGAACCACATGGATATATCTGAAAGGCAAATCATATCATTCTTTAAAGTAGAACATTTCCAAGAAAATTATGAATTGCAGTAGTGTTTGGATGTTACTGGCAGACCATTTCAGATATTAAAATGCATGTTATTTTAAAAATGCACATTAAAAACAAGATTGATAGGACAGATAGAACAAAGCATAGAAAACTGATTACGTAGTTAGTGAGTGTCAAGATAGGAACATAAGACAGAGTTCAGTCGAATGATGCACATACACCATATAACCTCTTTGCTGTTATAGCTGTGATACTTCTTAGCTGGAGAGATGGCGAGTAGGTAGGATTATTTCAATGAAAAGTTGAGACTAAGAAAACAATGAGAGAGGGAGACATTATCAAAATTGGGACACTAAAGCTAGGATACAGCCCCATTTGCACGGTGAAGGAAAATTATATGCCCCAGAGATGCTGTACAAGTTGTTAAGTCTTGTTCTCTGCTATCTCCGTCCAGTTACCACATACTAGAATGCTTGTAAGAAAACAGTCTTGAGGCTTGCCATCTTGATCTACAGGCAGAGATCAAAGTGCAGGGTAAAAAGTAAAACCAGCTGAGGGTGGATGGAAGGTAGGTTGCTGTTGCTGTGAGCACAAGACAGCAGAGGAAGATAGGCAGAGAGCCACTCCTGACCCCTGTTTCTCACTGGTGCCCACATGTTACCTCAGCAATTCCTCAGTTCAGCCTGTGGATGAAAGACTAATAAATTTGGCCCTATTCACAATTCTTTAGCAATTGCTTTCCAAAACCCACTCCACTCCTCACATAAGTTCTCCATACTTCATGATTAGTCAATTGCCAATAAATCCTAACTGATCTCATTTCTTCTCCATCTCTAGAAGAGTAGTAAGAATCATGTTTTTGAAGCATCATTTTAATCATGCACTCAGTGAGTGGCCTATAATGGCTCTCAAATACCTTCACATAAATCCCAAAGAAATCTAAGTTCCTCACCATGTAACTTTAGTGCCTCCTATCAGTATTCCCTCTTAATCCACTGGCAGCATTTTATCTTCATTTTGTTAGCTTCAAATAGCAAGTACTTGTGCAAAGTTTATTCTGGATCCTGCATCCTGTTATGAGAGTCAATTCTCAAAATCTGCAGGCTGTCCCCAGCATATAAACAACTTGCTTAGTCCCAAATCTGAGCTTCTATCCATGCAATTCCTCACTCCAGGAATGTCCTTATTCTCATTTCATGCCTGAGACCCATGTCTGAAGCTCTGGTTTGGACCAGAATGAAACAGTGTGGGGAAGGCAGGCGGTTTCCTAGAGAGCTACCAGCACAAAGCCGTTTGCCTCAGCTTTGTGTCCGACCACATGGCCTCTTCATCCTCTTACACACGCCTATGCACAACTCGTTAACTTCTCAGTGTTGACAGAAGGCAGTCCAAGAAATTGTTTTCATCTGTGCCCTGCATCTTCCATCTGCCAAAAGTCTTTCTGGCTCTGATATCAGGCCTGCCTTTCTGACAGAGATCTGGACAATGCACCTGCCACAACATGCATGCAGAAGAGCACAACTGCTGAGCCCTGAGAGGCTGGCACCCCTCCACGCGCAGGCTGTATACCTACGGCTCTCACTGTGCTGCTCCTGCCAGAAGGCTGCTGGTACCTCCTCTCGGAGGAACACAGGAGACAGACGGCTAGGGCAAAAGGATGCTGGTGGGATCCCAGGAAAGCTAAGGTGGTTTCAGAGGAGGGGAAGAATGGAGACACTCTCTCTCCATTCTTCCTCTCTGCTATCTCCCATTCTGGGAAAGTGTCCCAGGAAAGACGCTTAGTTACAAGAAAATTCAACTTTGAGCAGGATTCAAATTTTACTACTTTATTTTTTACTGAATAAATCTTTAGTAAGTACCTACTATTGTCAGATGTGGTTTTAAAGACAGCTGTGGATTCAAAAGATACACATGGCCCCCGACCTTCAAAAGTTTAAAGTCTTAGAAAATAAAATAGATTATTAGAATGAAGTATAACCTAGTAAGTAAAAAACTAACTTTTTAGAGCCAATAAGGTGTATGTTCTTAAGGTTTTCTAACTATGAAGTTCAGTTAGACTTGAGAAACACTGCTGTAAAAGGCAAAATTAAATTCCTGAAGTGTAAAAAACAGAAGCTAACTAATGAAGAAATACTAAATAATCAGCATACTTTCCAAACTACATCTAAAATAAAAAACACACATCAAATTTCCCTTTTAAAAAAAGAGAGGCTAAAATCTGCTATGAGAAACTAGAGTCATCAAAGGACAGAAAGTCTGAACTAATATTTTTCACAGTGATCTGGATTAAAGGTTTTTCTGCTCCAGAAATCTTTTAAAAATGCAAATTCAAATATGGCTAAAGCCAGAAGAACTGCATCACAGTGGAATGTGACTCCCTTTAAATAGATTGCCAGTCAGGTTCGATGCATGAGACAGGGTGCTCAGGGCTGGTGCACTGGGACAACCCTGAGGGATGGGATGGGGAGGGAGGGAAGTGGGAGGGGGGTTCAGGATGGGGGACACATGTACACCCATGGCTGATTCATGCGACTGTATGGCAAAAACCACTACAATACTGTAAAGTAACTAGCCTCCAATTAAAATAAATAATTTTTAAAAAGTATTTTAATTCTCTGCACGCATTTAAAAAAATATTTCAATAAGTGTTAGTCGCTTAGTTGTGTCTGATTCTTTGCAACTCCATGAGCTGTAGCCTGCAAGGCTCCTCTGTCCATGGAATTCTCCAGGTAAGAATACTGGAGTGGGTAGCCATTCCCTTCTCCAGGGGATCTTCCCAGCCCAGGGATCAAACCTGGGTCTCCCATGTTGCAGGCAGATACTTTACCATCTNTCCAGTACATTAGCTTAACATTACAGTTCAGAATTTTGATTTCATGCTAAGTATGTCTTACCTAAGTCATTGTTTTTTGTTATTGCATTAGCTGCCCTGGTTCGGGGTCCTTGCTGAGTAAACTGATATCCAAATTTAAGGATATTGGTATTCTCCTCAAGCATGTTGGCCATTTCCAATTCTACAGCTGTCCCCAGCTGCTGCCTCTGGAATAATTAGAAATAAGGAATAGTATTAATAAGCTAGTTCAAAACATAGGTCAAATCTAAGACATTCATGTTCATGCTGATTCTTTAAAAATATTTTCCCAATTCTTACAATACATAAGAGAAAAAAAATAAGTTTAGTATATAATCATATAGACAACAAAAAAAATGTGGATTATTACAATGAGATACCATTTCATACTCACTAGGATGATTATAATCCAAAAGATGGACAATAATAAGTATTGGCAAGATATATGGAAAAATGAGGAGCTTCAGACAGGCTGGCAGGAATGTAAAATGGTGGAGCTATTATGAAAAACAATTAAGCTATTCCTCAAAAAGTTAAGTGCAGGGTTATCATGTAACCTAGCAATTACACTCCTAGCTATATACCCATGAGAAATGAAAACATATTCATAAGAATTTGCACCTGAATGTTCATAGAAACATATTTCTGCAATCCAAAAAGTGGAAACTATCCAAGTATAATAGATTCTTCAACCATAAAAAAAGAACAGATACTGATAACATACTACCACATGAATAAACCTCCAGAACATTTTGCTAAGTGAAAGAAGGCAGACACAATAGACTGCATGTTACATAACTCCACTTAAATGAACTGTCCAAAATAGGCAAACGCATAGAGACAGGAAGTAGATCAGTGGCTGCCAGAGGCTGGTGGGAGAGGTGAATAGGAATTGACTGCTAGTGGGTTTGAATCTCTTTTTGGGGTGATGGAAGCGTTCTGGAGTTAGGCAGTGGTAATGGTTATATAACTATGAATGTACTAAAACCGTTCCATCGTATACTTTAAACAAATAAATTTTATGGTATGTGAATTAAATCTCAATAAAAGATTAGAAACATTGATTAAAATAGCATTCTGGTTAAATTTTAAGATATAATTCTGTCTTCATAATCTACAAAATTTATTTACGCTGAAGAATTGAGGGAGTCATTTACCACGTATTTTTAAAAAATAACTGAAGTCACTTTTCAAATAAAATAAACTGAAGTATTTCATTCAAATGTGTATGTTGTTTTATTTTTAGTTAACTACACTCTGGATGGAATAATTTCTAACATGTGTTTCTCTATTTCTCTAAAGAAAAGTGCATCTGGCTCTGGGTGATCCAGCGATATCTTAGGGGGTCAGCACCCAATGTGGTTGGACAGAAGCTGTTCTGTTTTTCAGGAACTATTCTGTTCACCTCATGTCTGGGACTGATATGTTACAGCCACAAAAAGGTTATTATGTGGCTCTTGCTACCTAAGAACTGAAAACTTTGAGGCTGGACTGTCACCTTTAAGAATCCTTCTAGTTCAAAACCGCTAGCCATCTCAATCCTCTACAGACCAACCAGGGAGAGCTGCTTGTATACCTTTCTATACATTAAGATTCTGGATGCCCCAAAAGTTCTCATCCCTTTTCAGGCCTCTGCCTTCCCAAGGGCTCCCTGGAAAGCCTTCCTTCTGCCTGCCTCCTGAATCCCCAAGCCCTGCCCGGAGTGTGGGCTGCAGCTTCTCCAAAGCTGCTGCTGCAGAACACCGACCTGGTTGTCAATTTTCAGTTCCATCAGGGTTTCATTCTCTTTCAAAGCATCGATCAGTGCTCGAATCCCAATTCCTGTAATAAAGTTGGATTCCATATTTAAGCTCTTCAAATTTTTGTTCACTCTTAGCATATCTGCAAAAGCCTGGAAATTACAGAAAATAGTTGGAGATTAGCTTGACAGCACCTGGTAAATAAATACTGAACAAGCCTGAAGAAATACACAAATCAATACAGCTGCCTTAATGTTTCTTATTAGATTGTTTAAGCTTGACAGGCCACCTCAGAGATCTCACATGTATTTACTTTTCACATGTACTTGGTCTCAAACTTTAAATTTGTTGTCATGTGTAATTCTCTATTGGTAACACTCTCTACTGCTATTCATTCATGCTTCTGCTTCTTTCTCCCATGTTTCTCCGACTTTGTCTGTCTGTGTAGGAATAACTTCACCAGTGTCTCTCTGGAACAAGTTTTCTTACTTGGGTCCTGTGGCAGCTAGGTTACAGTGAAGTGCAAATAAGGGGAAATTATGAACTAATTTCCAAAGCAAGAACCGAAAGGACACAAATAACTGGAACTGCTAGAGCATGAGAACCATGGAAAAGAAGGGCCCAACTAAATATTCACCACCTCAGAGAACAGTGTCTTCCACCTGCCTGCATTACAACTTCTCACAGGATGTGGCAGTGCTAGGCATTTGACCCAATGCTTAATAAACGCTATACTGATTAATTAACAAAGACTGTAAGTGAGCAGAGGGGAAAGAGAAGGGCTGGGGAGGGGGGTAACAGAAGAATATGAATGTGAGTTTATTAATACAGCCCTGCAGAGGGGTCAAAAGAAAGGCCAAACTCCAGAGAACATGGGGTAAGATCAAACTTAAAGTCAAGTTAAAGGTAACAGGTGCAGCCACACTATAAAGAACTTGGGGCAGGTATCTACACTCCTGCACTTCCTATTAGCAACAATTGGCAATGTGACCTGAGGTAAATTCCTTATCCATCCATCCATACCCACATTTATTAAAATGTTACCAGTGGCCTATTTTTGATAGGCACTGCTTTATAGACTCTGAAGTGAAACACACAAGTCTTTACCTCATGGAACTTACATTTTAGTGGGGGGCCCAGATAACAAATAAGAAAGCAAACATAATGTCAAATGGTGAAAAGGGCTACAGAGGAGGGAACAAAGGCCAAGCAGTGTAGATGGGGAGTGTCGGGGAAAGCTGGCTCAGGAAAGGCCTCCCCTGGAAGGTGACATCTGAGCAAGGACTCAAATGATTGAGGTGATGAAGTGAAACTACGCGGAGCATCTTTAGGGAGACAGGAGCAAGGAGGCTGTACAGCTGGAGTAAAATGAAAGAAACAGCAAGAAAGGAGGTGAGTCTCCTCAGCTAAGGCCTTACTAGGCCACTGAAAGAATCTGCTTTTTACTTAGTGAGACAGGGATCTGCTGGAGGCTTCTGAGTATAGGAGTGAAATCATTTAAGTTTTAAGAGTCACTTGTGATGCTGTATAAAGAGCTGGCTTTGGGATGGGTAAGGTGGAAGCAAGCAGTTAAGTTAGGAGGCCACTGCAATAATCCAGATGAGAGAAGACAGTGGCCTGGACCAGGGTGGGGGCAGTAAAGGTGGTGAGAAGTGGCTGGATATAAAGGAAATATCTGAAGACACAGTGGGATGTACATTTAAGGTTGTGAGAAAGGGAAGTCACTCCATCATTATTATCTTGACTTGAGCAAATGAAAGAATGATGTTTCCATTTAGTGAGATAGGGAAGAGTGTGAGAGAGGCAGGTATGGGATGGAAGTCAGGAGTCTGGTTTGGGATTTCGGTCTAAGACATCTGTTAAGAAGAAGTAAAGTAAAGCTGTTAAGGAGAAGCTGAACATGGGTTTGGAGTTCAGGGGAGAGATATGAAATGGAGATAATAATGTTGGGAGTCACTGGCATACATGGATAATATATAGCAGTGAAACAGAATGAGATCACCTGGAAAGTGAGTGTAGACGAAGAAAAGAACAAGGACTAGGGCCAAGCTCTGAGCCGTTTAGAGGTTCAGATGCTGGGGAGATGAGAAGGAACCAGTTTAGGGACCAAAGGAAGAATGTCCAAGCAGGTAGAAGGAGAATGAAATGGATTGATACCCTCAAAGTCAAGAAGAAAAGGGTTTATATCACGGTCAAGTGGGACTTCCCCCAGAAATGCAAAATTGCTTTAACATACAAAAATTAAGCAATGTAATATATATTAATTGAATAAAGGACAAAAACCACATGATCACTTCAACAGACACATAAAAAGCATCAATAAAACCCCAACACTGTAGATCCATAAATGATACCCTCTACAGGTTTAAAAGAATGATTTAGAACTTTATATGCTGATATGAAAAGACCTCTAAGATATATTAAAGTGAAAATTTCAGTTGCAGAACAGCTTACACTGTATGACTCCATTCATGTTTTAAAATTTTCAAAGAAGGGAAATACATGGAAAAAATAAAAGGATAGTAAATAATGTATTGCCTAATAGTGAGTAATCAGAAATTGAAAAAAGAGTAAAAAATTTTTTTTAAACTGATACTTGCTTTTCTTGACCGCTAAACATCATGGTTATTAACAGTAGCTCTTAGAACACATAATTTTTTAAACTACACTAAAATTATTTATTTTTAAATTTATTTTTTATTGAAATATAGTGAATTAAAAAAAGCAAATCTTTTCATAAAACCAGTTTAATCACCTTTGTAACATACCCTGGTATTACAGTCATAATTTCAATATTATTAGTCACAGCTTACTTACAATAGCAACAGGGTCATTGCTTCGGGTGGCTGCAAGACTGAAATGTTTCACATGTGTGTTGGTTTCCAAAGCCTTTGCAAAATCTTTTAGGGTTGGTATTGGGATATTCTTGAAAGACAAAAATGTGAAACATTATTACATTTTAGTTTTCAGTAAATTCAGTCCAATAATCAAAGACATCTCTACTTTCTCTTTTGCTTAAAATGTACTCAGAAATTACGTAACATATAACCACTGGCCTACAAATGAAAACTAACAACTCAGCCACCTCATCTCTGACTTTTCTAGTATGGTACATCTGCACAAACTGTTAGCATAGAGCAAAGCATACATCGCTGCTTTTCTTTTTCTTTTTTTTTCAGGAACTGGTATTTATTATCAAAGTCATATTCGATGTCAACAAGATGCCACAACTACAAAAAAAATTGCGCACATTGCAATCTCAATGCAAACAGTCAAATGGAACCCCAGTCATTAAAAAAGTAATTCAAATTACCCCAAAAAG